TAATGACAGGTATATAATACTTGCACAGCAATTCATTATCTCTAAACCTCATCTCAACCTTTTGAGTGCACCGTTATTCTCAATCTACAGATGAGGATCAGGAGGTGCAGAGAGATCAAGAATTTACCCAGGCTCACAGTGAAGCACATGGATGGTATCTAGGGCACATCCCACTGCTGACCCTTTGATCAGGCTATTCCTTCCAGTATGTGAATTTATTACTTAACAGTGTTTTGGTTGTACTGTGTCAGTAATACCAAATAAAGCCCAGGCTCATGCCTCATCTCTATATTCCTGACAACTCCATTAATTACCTTTCTCAGTCAAGAAGAGGACTCATGACTTGAAGCTGGAGGAATAACATGGGTTACCAGAGGCCCATGACTGTGGTAAATTAGCCTCATAAATACATAGCACTCAAGCAACCCAACCCCAAACCCCTTAATTGGTGCCACAAGGTGTGATCCTGCGGCAGGACTCCTGGAGCCTGCAGCCTTCCCTAATTTAATGCTGTCCAGCTATGTGCAGCAACTCTACACTGGAAGTGGTCCCTGCCTTGCATTACTAAACCAAAGAAATAAAACGAGGAGTTTCTATTCTCTTTTCAGGCAACATCTTCTCTTAGGTGGCCTTACTTGTCTTCTGAACGGGAAAGTGACTCAGCTCGCTCAATGAAGATAAATCCAGTTTGCAGCTTTCTAAGTCTGACAAATTATATTTCTTTCTTCTCTGGAAAGAAGCTCTAAAAATGACTGGTCCCAGTCAAAACATTCAAAAGCTGTGAGGACTTTCCTTAACACCAAACCCTCAAATCTGTGACCAGAGTAGGAAATGCAATCATTAATGTAATAAATCTAGTATGGTTTAAAAGAGCTTCTGTTTAAGTTACACCTGCCGGCTTAGTATAGCAACTCAAAACCAAGATACACAGAGAAAGAAACTGGCCTCATAAACATATTCAACCGTGAATGGGCTTTATTTTTCTACTCTCAGACTTTAATAAGGCCATACACCAGAACTCTTGGATCTTTATAAACTCACTAAACATTTTTTATTTTTTTAAATTAATTTCTTTTTGTTACAGATGTTTCTCCTTTCTCACTAAACATTTAAAAAAGAAAGCATCCTCAGTAGACCTTAGGCTGTTTTATAGTATTAAATTAATATTTCTATACTACAGAGTACATAGGTGATTACATCATTTAGCTTTAAAAAAAGTATTTTTTTCAATGCCAGTTTAAAATATTCCATCTCAAATTTACCATTTGATAATTTTCACTAAATGGCTTGAAATTATCCAATCAGTCTTACCAAAAAGTAGCAAACACTTAAGAGATCATTATTCTAATTTAAAACTGAGTGATGAGTTCGGTTTCTCACTGAATGTAATCGGTGCCCGGGACGCAGCAGGTGCCTTAACATGTAATTTGTGACCATATCAGTCTCAGTATCTGAGAAGCTCCTTTAATTTCTTTTGCTCACAAATGCATTGTTTTCCAATGGCAGATTGAAACACACCCACATCCTTTCTTTGGGAAGAGCAGATGGGATGCAGTGGACAGGAAGATGAAGCAGGTCTGTTTTTCAACTGATTCCAACTTCCTTTTGTTGATTGAAATTCCCCCAGGAATCTGGCATTTAACTGTCCAGCAGTCTTAATTTTAGGAGATGCTGTGAGATATTTTCATGTCTCCATGTGAAATCTTGCTTTGCATCATCGATCCGTGCAATGAACTTTGGTGCATAACCAAAAGGCATCAAGATATAATCCAAGTTTATTAAATCAGTTTAACAAAATGGCAGGTGGTAAAATTTTTGGATTTTACAAAGGAGTTCAGAGAACTCTGGTGGACATGGACTGCTATGAAATGACAGATTAATACCAGGATGTCAGAATCCACTAAAACGGGTTCCCAGTTAATAAAGTGGTTTATATAGTGGTCAAGAGCAGGGACTCTGGTTCCAATCCTTGTTGTATTGTTGGTATGTTGGGGAAATAACTAAGCATCTCTATGCCTAAATCTCCTCATCCATAAACATGTATCATTCAATCATTACAGTAAGCACTTTGGGAATTCAAAGATATTCATCACATATTTTACTTTAAAAAAATTTAAAATCTAGTTGGAGACAGAAACAGTGCATATGAGTCGGCCTGCGGTCCGAAGAGACCCGGGTTCGGTTGCCGCTAAGGGCACGTACTTCGGTTGCAGTTTGTCCCCAGCCCTGGTTGGTCGTGCGGGTGGCAGCCACTGGATGTGTCCCTTCACGTCGATGTTTCTCTCTCTCTCTCCCTTCCTCTCTCTCCCTCCCACTCTATCTGTACAAAAACAAAAAAAAGAAACAGTGCATATGAAACAGTCCATAATTATAATACAAGGGGGAAGATTGAGAGGGTCAAAACTGGAGCGAGACCGCCGGGATTGGAATGCTAGCTCCACCAGTTTCTCTGAGAAGAAGAGCAAGTTACTTAACTCCTGAGCCTTAGTTTCCTCATTTCTAAAATGGTGATAATAGTATTTACATCTCAGACTGTTGTATGAGAATCAAGTTAAGTTTAATGTAAAGAGCCACAATATCAAAACCACATGCCACAAACCATAAGGTACCACTTTACATCCATTAGGATGGCTATTATCAAAAAACAAAATAACAAGTGTTGCAAAGGATGTAGTGAAACTGGACACCTGGTGCACTGCTGATAGGAATGTAAAATACACAAATGCTGTGGAAAGCAGCATGGTGGTTTCTCTAAAATTAAACGTAGAGTTATCTTATGACCCAGCAATCACACTTCTAGGTATGCACTCACAGGAACTGAAAACAGACACAAATTTTTTACACCCACGTTCACAGTAGTGTTATTCACAATAACCAAAAAGTGGAAGCAATACAAGTGTTCACCCACAGATGAACAGATACACAAAATGTGAGATATATACAATGAAATATTATTTAACTCAAAAAAAAAATTTGACACATACTACAACATGGATGCACCTTGAAAACACTGTGCCAACAGAAATAAGCCAGGCAAGAAGAATATTCTATAATTCACTAACATGAGGTACCCAGAACAGTTAAATTCATAGACAGAGTCGAACGGTGGCTCCGGGGCTGGGAGGGTAGTGGAGAGCTGTGTTGAATGGGCAGTTTCACTGGGGAAGATGAAAACGTGCTGAAGATGGATGGTCGTGGTGGCTGTACAAGTGTAAGGGTACTTAATGCCACTGAACTACACACTTACAAATGGTAATAATAAATTTTATGTATATTTTATAATTTTAAAAGCTCAGAACAGAGTCTACCACATAGTAAGTGTTCAATAAATACTAACTATCCTTAGTGCTTTTAAAGCGTTCAAGAGAGAAAATTTAGTCAGTAGATCAGAAATGTAGCTGAGAAGATGTCATCTGAGCCGGGTAAGATGGATAGCAGTTTAGTAATTATTAACATCACTTTATAAATAAGAAAATCAGATGTAAGGTGACGGGTCTGCAAATGCTCTTATCAAAATTTAAAATAACAAATTAACAACTATTACATGCTAGGCATGGATGAAGGTGTCTGAAACACAAATAGTGATCCAAATATTCAAGGATCAAACAAATACCTCTTATCATCTAATTCCACATTTTATGGGCTAGTTTACAGTAGTTACTATTCTTAAAATTTTGGACTTTAAAGAACTCTGGTTACATTTTAGATCATCTCCTTTTCCCCACCCACCATTCCACTCCCTGTTTCCACTATTTCCCTTCCACTAAAAGCCCAAGTATGCCTTAATTTTACTCCTTAGTTTCTTCCAGTGAGTAAAATTATTAAAATCATAATGAAAAACCAAATTATAAATTAAGTTGTACTATCATGAAACTGTTGATCATTCAAATAATTTTGACCTACAAAAGCTGCAATTTCATAGAGCTCAATGTTATGGTAATGCCAAAGTCCTTGTTTTAAGGTTTTAAAATCTGAATTTTAGATACTTAGAAATTAAATACAATGGCAGTAGAACACACTGTTTCTAACTGAGAAGTCTGAGAGCTGTTTTCTATACCTGAAGCCTAACAGCCAATCTGATCTAAATCCAGTCAACTGTTCTGTCTCTGTCAGTTACATAGTGACATAACAAAAATTTCATTTCTATTTAGAATCTACTTTGGAATCTTTAAGCTAGGTTTCCAATATTCAAGATAATGCTATTCAGCCCTGGCCGGTTTGGCTCAGCGGTTAGAGCGTCGGCCTGCGGTCCGGAGAGACCCGGGTTCGGTTCCCGCTAAGGGCATGTACCTCGGTTGCAGTTTGTCCCCGGCCCTGGTTGGTCGTGCGGGTGGCAGCCACTCGATGTGTCCCTTTCACATCGATGTTTCCCTCTCTCTCTCTTCCTCTCTCTCCCTCCCACTCTGTCTGTACAAAAAATGGAAAAATGTCCTCGGATGAGGATTAAAAAAAAATTAAAAAAAAAAAAAAAAAAAAGATAATGCTATTCAGATATGAGATGCTTGAAGATCACCATCCAAGTTTCACTGAATGATCTACCATATGACAGAACACACTACTAGTAACAAGAAGGAATAGACTACGGACACAACAACGTGGATCAATCTCGAAAATGTGTGGAGCAGAAGAAGGCAGAGTACATACTGTAGTATTCCACGTATCTGAATTCCAGAAAAGATGTATCTCATCAACAGTAACAAAAAGCAGATCTGTGGTTGCCTACAGCTGAGGGTAGAGAAATAGATTGTGGAAAATGGGATTAAGAGAACATTTTGGGGTGATGAAAATATTCTCTATTTTGATTGAGGTGATAGTTACATAGCGGGTATAAGTTGGTAAAAACTCAGTCAAATGAACACTTAAAAAAGATGCATTTTATTTTATGTAAACAGCACCTCAATAAATTTCATTTACAGAAAAACAAATGACAGTATATTTTTAAGAGTTCATTTACAAACAAAAAATGACAATTTTTAATTAACAAAACACAAATACCTTATTCTTAAAAAATTAGTGTATAATGAATGAAGCTAAAGTTCCCTTTGACCTGCCTCCCAGTCCTTGCTGCCACCGAATCTCTCCCATTTCTACTGTCTCCCCAAATAATCACCGTTGTGAGTTTGGTATGGGTTCTTTTGCACCTTTAAAAATATATTTACATATGTCTATAGCCACTGAAAACATACAGCATTGTTTTGTAGAAAGATTTACTGGTACATTATCTTTCTGCAACTTGCAGTTGTCGCTTAACATTATGCTTCTGAGATCTATCCCTGTTAACATATAACATTTACTTCTTTTAAATCCAATATAAATACTCTATTAAATGACTATAGTGCATTTTATTTAGCCAGGCCTTCCCACTCCTGGCAGATATTTAGGTTCTTTTTTCCTATTACAACTCACCAGTGTTGTGGTGAATAGTAGTTACCACAGGGGTGGCCATAGGGATGGCAGACGGGTGTTCTGTAAGTTTTAATTTTTTAAAATGAGAATACATATGTGTTATTATTTATATAATTTAAGTACGGATTTTAAAGAATTTTCTGATGCATAAATTATCAAAAAAAATCAGTAATAGGAAGCAATCATCTATTAAAATATATGGAAAACAAAATTATAAGGCATAACAGTGTACTCATGGTTTGAAACATTAGCACTTAAAAGTAATGATTTGAGCACTGAACAGGTCACATAAACACACTCTCCTACTCAAAGCAATTGTAGTAAAAATATCAGCATACTGGTTATCATGACATCAGCATAATTAATACATGCATGGATACTTCATTTACACTTTTTGCTTTCTTCTTTTATGACTATGATGTCTTTCTCCATCCCTGAAATGAAAGGGGTGAAAAAAACTATCATAAATGATGGAAATTTTAATAAAAGAGCTTTAAAATAATAATTCATCAATAATATACTGACATCAGATATAAACCAGAACAAATTAAAATACACATCTGAAACTGAAAAGTGATTTTTTAAAGAGTAAATATGGAAACTGCATCATTAAATCTAAGGGACAAACCAAGAGGGGGATAAACAAAATGGATTTTTAAAAAATTGCACTTTGGAGTTCCACTTTAAAATTAATTGAATATACACCCATAGTTGATGACCACAGATTTCATTTCTAGTAGAATACCAGTCTTAGAAGAAATTCAGAAACTATCTCATGTCTTTATCCTGGATCCTATCTCAACGTCCCACAATTCATTCTATCTCAGGGAGACTATCGAAGATTCGCCTACTGAGAAATATTTCCTGCTAATATTCAGTTTATCCTTTCTAAAAGAAAAGTATTCATGTTTAGATTTTCAAGCTGTCTAATGTATTTAAGTCAATAGGGGCTGATGAGACAGGTCAAAATTTACTTCAGTGGAACAAGCACTAACAAACCAGGAAGAAGTTATGGAGCACGATTTCTGGTAGCTTATCAAGAGTTAATTTGTATAAAATTATTATAAAATATCATTCATTATATAAATCAAAAGAGATCGCTAAGCAAGTATCTCATTTTTATAAGAGAAGGACTAAATCCTAGCCAGCTTTAAACCTATGAACTGAATGACAGTAAGATGAGCAAAATTATTAAACCAATAAGCCTGGCTAATTCCTGATCACCAGTGGCCCTGGAGAGGTAAGACATCATTTGAGAGCCCTTGATTAGATAAGCACTGCACACATAATACTAAATAAGACATGGGCCTGCCCTCAAAGAGCTCACAGATTAGTAGAGAGAGTAATAGTTAAGTTCAATAAAAAGTATGTGCCAGCTACACAGGTAACAAAACAGAAAAGATCAGCTGTATTTGACTGAGTGAAAAAAGGCTTCATGGGAATGTCTAAGCTGGGTCTTAAAGGATAAGGAGTTTACCAAGCAGGCTTTAAAAAAATTTAGGCAGCAGAACACGATATGGCAAGGTATAGATGTAGCAGTGTGGACGAGGAGCAGTAGCAATTAGGGCTGGCTAAAGCATTAGCTATGCAAGTCATGGGTAATGGCAAAATACAAGGATAGGCAGGCAGATGCCCTGATCCTAGGGGTCTTGAGAGCCAGTCTAAGGAACGTGAATTTTGTCACTGAAGTTTTAAGAGGTAAAAAATTCACTCTGGAAGTAGGGTAGGAATGAATCCATAAGGAACAAGCTTTCTAGACAGGTAGAAGAATCAGGAGAACTACCATCATTTTCCAGATGGAGAGCAATAATGACAGAGGAAGAGAAGGTGTATATGAGTTATCTTCAGGTAGAATGAACAGCAATAAAGACTAGATGGTAAGGAATGAAAAGGGAATATCTAACATGACTCTTTGATTTCTGGCTCAGACAAACAAATGATAATCATCCCTTAACCAGATAGGAAATGCCGGGGAAGGAGGAACAGACTGAGAAAAAGGTAAGTTCAGTTATAGCCCCGCTGAACTTGAGATCTAGGCAGATGCCCAGCAAACAGCTGAAATAATAGGAACAGATCTCAATTGTTTTAAATTTATTATTTTAGTATTAGTTTATATCTCTCAGCTATTAAAATTTTATCAGGGATATTAACCAGAAAAAAACTGACTGGTATTAAAGCTTGGATCTTCTCTCTGACACTATACACCCCTATACCCGAGGAATTAGCAAAGAATGAACAAAAAAAGAGAAGGAGAGTTGAAGGGAGGAAGGAAGGAGCAGAAAAAAAGCAAACACCTTTTAACACAGTTAACTTTCTACCTAGATGTTACTTTCATAAGCCCTTGTTAGAAGTAATAAAACAGGGAAATCTATATCCAATCAGGCATAGAGAGAACTGTGTCGCCACAGCTGTTGTTTCTTGATCTGAAACAGGACGAATGTTAAGAATTTTCATTAATTATTTACTTTTCTTACCATAATTTACTTACAATCTATTTTTTCAACATGGTTTACAACAGAAGAAACTGTCTATTTTTAAAGGTAAACAATCCACTGTTGGATGATACAGTGCTAGACTTACCTCTCCTTCCTTCTTCTTGAGTCCCAGTTTTTATCTTTATCTTTATTTCTTTTTCGTTTGTGTGGGCTCCTACTCCGATCCCTTCTATGTCGTGAACATTCAGCATCCAAATAGCTTCCACCAGACTGCCGTGAATCTACGGAAGCGGATCGCCTTTCTTCACTCCTAAAACACAGAAAGGAACATTACTCAGTTAGCTTTAACCACTGGCTTCAGAATGGATCAGACTAAAGTCCAATATTCTGTATCAGACCAATGATACAGTATATCTAAATAAATATGTGTAATCTTATATTTTACATACGAAGGCAATCAAAGAAATATAGTTTTTATAACATGTTTTACAACTCTGGTATAATAACCCTGAGCAATGACAAGGAACAATAAGCATTCTGATGAATTCTAGTGTGCTACAATGGCCTTGAAAATGTTAAAATTTAGTTAAGCAATTATAGGTAAAGGTTTAAAAAGAGAACATTTTCACCAATAAATACAATGACATACTTTTCAGCACCATCCTCTGCTTTTTCCTGCTCTTCTTGCCAGTGATGACTGAGTTCTTCCATGTGTACATTTATCACATCCCGAATCACCTTAGGAGAGTTAAGTACAGAATTTCAGAAAGCTGTTAAAAAAAATTAAGACGATAATGCTTAAAAAAAAAAAAAAAAATCACTGCTGACAATCAATACCTATTAAAAGCTACAATACAATGGACTGTGAGATGTGTGCAATTTAGGGAACATTAAAAAGGCAACAGTCAAACTGGAGTATGAATGGTATATAAAAATACATCATTGTTAAATTTGCTAAAGTTGATCATGACACTATGATTATGTAAGAAAATATCTCTATTCTTAGGGAACAGTATTTAGGGATCAAGCATCATGATGTAGGTAACCCTTAAAAGTTGAGGAAAAAACCTAATGTACAAATAGTGACAGAGACAGCAAAAAATGTAACAGTCAAGAGAGTACAAAAGACAAGCAAATGGAGCAAAACATTAACAATTGGTAATCTGTATAAGGGACACAGGAGTTTTATACTATTTTCAGTTTTGAAATTTATTTGTATGTTCGAGATAATTTACAAATAAAACTTTTTTTAAAACCTCAAGACGTCAGACAAAACATGAAACATTATAGTCACTTCACAGATACTTTCCTAGTGGGATTACAGATCACTTACCTAAGAACCATTAAAATTTTTTTTCCTTCCTATTTATCTTAGGGCATCAAGCACAGGCTGGTCACCATTTAGGTGAAATTTACATAGAAGGGTACAGTTGGTTCCCGCATGCCTAATTAGGAAAGTTTTAAGAAAGGTACAGGAAACAAGGGGCAATCTCGGAGATACACACTACGGTTCAGGTCTGACTGATTTGCTCCCCACTTCAAAGAAATTTTCAACAGCTCCTAAAGTAAAAATAGAACAAGTCCAAACTCTGATTGAGCCTTTGAAGCCTTCCACGATTTTACCATACCACATAGTCAATGCCAGCCTTAGCTCCTAGTGGATACTTCTTGAAAACCCCTAAGTTCTAGCCACCCTGGATCATTGAAGTGTCTCTGGAAAACTCCTATACGTTCATTTATTTTTAGGAACACTAGTCCTTCCACCTGGAAAATCCTTATACTCCATTTCCCCTCCTGCAGTATATTCTTTTGTGGAAAGCCTAAAACAGTCAAGGTTGACCTCAGGGAGTGACATGAGTCACACATACCTGAATTCCAGCTCTAGCATTTCCTCTGTGACTCCCTGACTGGCAGCTCTCTGTGAGCTCTGTGAAGCCAAATGTTACTAGACACGGTTTCCACAGAGCGCCACATAGAAAGACACACAGACACTTATTTACCCCTCTCTGCTTCTCCCATCTCTCAAATACTGTTTTCTCTATGAAGCCTATACCAAGCTTCCCTTTTAAAAACCGATCCCTCCTCCCACACTTTGATCTCACCTCATTTTAGCAGTTACACAATCTGTATTTTGAAAGGTATTTTTTACCTGTTAAACTGTAATAAACTCCCTAAGAGTGTCTGTGTGCATTTATCTTTACATACCCCACAACAGTATGTTATGCATAATAACTGCACTATATAATACATTGTTACTGAAATTAATCAAAGTTCATGTTCTAGTTCAGAGCAAACAAAAATTATGTAAGTTATAAATGAAGCCAGGAATGGATAAAATGTTGAAAAAGCCCTGACCAGAGATAAATCACTAAAAGAACTGTAAACACTGAAGTATTTCCAGATGAAAGATATTTGGGATCTGTTCGCAAAATTAATAAGCAACAGGGCAGAGGAGATAGGTAGTAAATGGGGGTATAAATAAATAAGATCATATGTTGATAACTGTTGTAGCTGGGTGACGGTACATAAGGGTTCATTAAACTGTGCCATCCACTTTAATGTATGTTTGAATATTTCCATAATAAAAAGTTAACCATTAAATTGTACAAAAACACTAGCAGTAACACAAACTTGATCACAAAGTTGACTAGAAAAGAAACAAAGGATGTACAATCAAGTATTTCAGGGACTGTAAGAATCACCAAGGTAGTATAACATGGTCCCAGATCTCTACTGGGAGAGATAAGTCTAAGCACGTATGTACTTTAATTGCAAAAAGAATAGGATAAAATTAAGTGCTACGCTGTGTGGTGCAAGTGCAGTAAGCCAAGAGATGGTTCAGTTAACTAGCACCTCATGGAAACAGTGGATATAAAGATTTAAAACAGTGAAGATTCTGGTTCAAGACAAAGGCATAGGAAGACCTGGAACTCATCTCCTCCCACAGATACAACAAACTTATAGCTACATGTGCAATAACATTCCCCTGAAAAGGACCTGAGAGCTAGAGGAAACAGCACCTCCACAGCAAAGATAAGAGAGATGCATCGAGATGGGTAGGAGAGGCAAAGACACAGCCTTTCCCGTGTCTAAGTTCCCACCCCAAGCATGGTGACCTACCTACAATCAGAAGGAATCCAAAAAAAAAATGGAACTCTCCCTCGAAGAGTGAAGGGACTATGCCCCACATTAGTCACCCCAACTCGTGAATCTGGCACGGAAGAAATGAGCCCCCACAAATGTCTGATTTTGAAAAGCAATGGGGATTAGCCCTGGCCGGTTTGGCTCAGCGGTTAGAGCATCGGCCTGCGGTCCAGAGAGACCTGGGTTCGGTTCCCGCTAAGGGCATGTACCTCGGTTGCAGTTTGTCCCCGGCCCTGGTTGGTCGTGCGGGTGGCAGCCACTCAATGTGTCCCTTTCACATCGATGTTTCTCTCTCTCTCTCCCTCCTGCTCTATCTGAACAAAGAATGAAAAAGTGTCCTCGGGTGAGGATAAAAAAAAAAAAAGAAAAGCAATGGGGATTAAGTCCAAGAGAAACACAGAACTGTAAGAAATGGAGAATCTATTCTTAAAGGGCTCATGTGCAAGACCCATTCACTCTGAGATCCAGTGTAAAAGCAAAACTCTAAAAAATCCTAGACCATAAGGGAGACCCATTTACTAAACTTAAATAGACTGCCAGAACCTGTTAAGACTTAACCCAGGGTCAGAAGTGCTGGCACCATTTTTGCAACCTCATTCTAATTTGCTGGTAACAGAAGTGATATATGCCATTTTTTATTTTTGGTACCCCTCCTCTAGCCTGCAACACTGGTAGAGTGATCTTCCCACCCCATGGCACTACCAGGCCAGGTAAGCACCTGTACCTTGCCCACCCCAAGCAGCAGCCACACTACAACCAGGCCAAACAAGCACCCTGCAACCCAACCATCTCACAGTGCAGCTGGCCCTGCCACAGGACCTGGGTAAGCACAGCTCACACAGCGGATGCACCTTGAGCGCCTAGCTCTGGTAGCAAGAGGAGATTGTGCCTCTGGACCCCACAGATCATCTCCTACACCAGGTCACTCCTTCAGGACTATTTTGCCTAATATATATGGACAAACACAGGGAGTCAGGCAAAATGAGCAAACAAATATGTTTCAAACTAATGAACAAAACAAACCCAGAAAAATACCTTAATTAAACAGAGATAAGCAATCTACCTGATAAAGAGTTCAAAGTGATAGTCATAAAACTGCTCACTGAACTATGGATTAAATAGTAAGATGGAAAATATAAAAAACTACAAAGAAAAGCTATAACTAAACTGGACAATACACTGGAGGGGTTCAACATCAAATTGGATGAAGTAGCCCTGGCCAATTTGGCTCAGCGGTTAGAGCATCGGCCTATGGACCAGAGAGTCCTGGGTTTGGTTCCTGCTAAGGGTATGTACCTCAGTTGCAGTTTGTCCCCTGCCCTGGTTGGGGTCATGTGGGTGGCAACCAGTTGATGTGTCTCGCTCACGTCAATATTTCTCTCCACCCCTCCCCTTCCTGCTCTGTCTGAAGATAATTGCAAAAATATCCTCAGGTGAGGATAAAAAAAAATGGATGAAGTAGAAGTAAAAATTAGTGAGTAAGAAAATAATGTAACACATAGACAGAACAGCAAAGTGAAAAAAAGAATTTAAAAAACTGAAGACACCTTAAGAAACCTCTGGGACAACATCAAGTAGAGTAATATTCATATTATAAGGGTGAAGAGAAAGGAGAAGAGAAAGGGCCAGAAAAGTTATTTAAAGAAAAAAGGGCAAACAATTTCCCTCATCTCAGGAAACAGACATGCAAGTCCAGGAAGCACAGAGAGTTACAAATATAATGAACCCAAAAAGAACCACACCAAAACACATTATAATTAAAATGGTAATGTTAAGGATTAAGAGAGACTCATAAGAGCATCAAAGGATAAACAATTTATAACATATAAGGCAAACCCCATAAGGCTATCAGCAAATTTTTCATCAAAAATATTATAGGCCAAAAGGGAGAGGAATAATATATTCAAAGTGCTGAAAGAAAAAACTTCCAATCAAGAATTCTCTACTCAGAGAGGCTGACATTAACATTTGAAGGAGAGATAAAGTTTCCCAGATAAGCAAAAGCTTAAAGAGTTCATCACCACTAAACCAACCTTACAAGAAATGTTAAAGAAACTTTTCTAAGCTAAAAAAAAAGACACTAATAAGAAAACATCCATAAATAAAAATATCACTTGAAAAGGTAAATATATAGTAAAGGTAGCAGATCAATCATGTCCCTTTCACGTTGATGTTTCTCTCTTTCTTCCTCTCTCTCCCTCCCACTCTATCTGAACAAAAGTGGAAAAATGTCCTCAGGTGAGGATTAAAAAAAAAAAAATCATGTATAAGGAAAATATCAAGGTTAAAAGATAAAACAAGTAAAAGCAACTACAATTATAATAAATAATTAAGGAAAACATATAAAGATATAAAATGTGCCATCAAAAACACAAAACGTGGTGCCGGGCTGGTGTGGCTCAGTGGTTGAGCACTGACCCATTCACCAAAAGGTCACTAGTTCAATTCCCAGTCAGGGCACATGCCCAGGTTGTGGGCCCAATCCTCAGTTGGGGCGTGCAAGAGGCAGCCAATTGATGTTCTCTCTCATTGATGTTTCTGTCTCTCATTCCCTTTCCCTTCCGCTCTCCCTCAAATCAATAAAGAAAAAAAATTTAAAAAAAAGACATGGGCGGGGGAGTAAAAATGTAAAGCTTTGGAATGTGTTCAAATTTAAGTTGCTATTAACTTAAAAGAGACTATTGTATACATAGGATGTCCAAAGTGATCCTCAGGGTAACCACAAAGAAAAAAAAACAAAAACAACCATAATAAACACATACAAAAGAAAATGAGAAAGGACTCTAAACATAACACTAAAGAAAGCCAGAAAGGAACAAAGAAGAAATATAAAAACAACCAGAAAACAATGAACAAACTGGCAATAAGTACATTCTTATCAATAATTATTTTAAATGTAAATGGACTAAATTCAGCACTCAAAAGACAAAAGAGTGGATGAATGGATAAAACAAGACCCATCTAGCCCAGCCGGTGTGGCTCAGTGGATTGAGCATCATCCCATGGACTGAGAGGTCCTGAGTCAATTCCTGGTCAGGGCACATGCCCGAGTTGCAGGCTCAATCCCCAGTGGGGGGCATGCAGGAGGCAGCCAATTGATGTTTCTCTCTCACACTGATGCTTCTATCTCTCTCTCCCTCCCTTTCTCTCTCAAAAAAATCAATAAACACATATTTTTAAAAGATTAAAAAAAAAGAATCTATATGCTGCCTGTAAGAGACTCACTTCAGAAGTAAGGTTACACACAAACTGAATGTGAAAGGATGGAAAAAAACATTTCATGCAAATAGAAACAAAAAGAAAGTGGGTGCCCAGTGGGTGTGGCTCAGTGGTTGAAAGTCGACCCTTGCACCAAGAGGTCACTGGTTACTGGTCAGGGCACATGCCCAGGTTGTGGGCCCGATCCTCAGTGGGGGACATGCAGGAGGCAGCCAATCAATGTTCTCTCTCATCGATGTTTGTATTTCTCTCTCCCTCTCCCTCCCTCTCTCTAAAAATCAATAAAAAAAAATAAAAATAAACCTGAATGTCTTACCTACACAATTTTCCTTTAGGAGTTACCACATTAAAAAAAAAAAAAAGAAAGTTGGTGTTGCTATACACAAACAAACAAAGAATATAATAAGATAAAGAAGAACACTATATGATAAAGGGTTCACTCCAGCAAGAAGATATATATGAACCCAATATAAGAACACGAAAATACACAAAGCAAATATTAAAGGACCTAAAGGGAGAAATTGAAAGCAATACAATAATGGTAGGAGACTTTAGCACTCTACTTATAGCACTGGATAGATCATGTATCTAAACAAAAAGTAATACGCAGTAAAAAAATATCGGCCTCAAATGACACATTAGATCAGACAGATACAATAGATATATTCAGAACATTCCATCCAAAACCAGAATACACATTCTTCTCAAGTGAACATAACATTCTCCAGGATAGATCACATTAGGCCACAAAAAAGTTTCAATAAATTCAAGACTGAAATCATATCAAGTATCTTTTGTGATCACAATGGTATGAAACTCAGAAATCAATTACAAACCCTGGCCAGTTTGGCTCAGCAGTTGAGTGTCGGCCTGTGGACCAGAGAGTCCCAGGGTTCAGTTCCCGCTAGGGGCACATACCACAAAAAAAGAAAAAGAAAAAAGTAGCAAAGCCCTGGTCGGTTTGGCTCAGCGGTTAGAGCATCAGCCTGCAGTCCAGAGAAATCAGTTACAGGCCCTGGCCATTGTGGGCCAGTGTTGCTCAGTGGTTAGATACCAGGTCAATGGGATGTACCTGGTTTGCAGGTTTGATCCCTAACCCTGATCGGGCACGTGCAGGAGGCAACCAATCGATATATCTCTCTCACATCAATGTTTCTTTCTTTCACTCTCTTTCTCTGCCTCCCCAATTCCCTCCCTCCCTTCTGCTCTCTAAAAATCAATGGAAAAAATATCCTATTTGTGACACCATAGATGGAACTTAAGGGTATAACGTAAGTGAAATAAGTCAGGAAGAGAAAGACAAATACCACATGATTTCACTCACATGTGAAATCTTTCAAACACCAAAAACAAACGAACCAAAAAACCAAAAACTCATAGACACACAAAACATACTGGTGGTTGCCGACGGGAAGAGGTTTGGGTGGTGAATAAAAGGAGAAAAGTGGTCAACTGTATGGTGGTGATAGTAACTAGACTTTTGGGAAAGATCACTTTGTAATGTCTATAGATGTCAAATTATAATGTTGTATACTTGGAACTTATATAATAGAAAAAAAAATTCAAACAGCGAAACAGCATTTCCAGCGAGAAAACAATGTGTATTAGGACATGGAGATATAAAGTTATGTAGATCAGACAGTTTAAAAAACATGTTTGACTACAGCAAAAGAAAATGCTTGGTAGAATAAGGCCAGATTGTGGAAGGTCTTTGAAATCATAGTGAAAAGTAAGAAATAATGTGGAAACAATTAGGGATTCAATGTGGAAATTATTTAGATTCTGGGCAAAGTAATTCATGTACCAAAAAATTCATCAAGTCTACCTAGCTACTAAATTGACACCTGAAAATAAATCTAGATAGACATCACGAGATTATGTAATTATATAATTTTATAATATACTTTATGTAATTATACAAATTATAAATAATTTATACCAAGACATTTCTTAAGCCCAAATATTTAGCAGAGTACATAAAAACACTAAAATTTCCATCAGAAAAACATAGCTATTTATTGAGCAATTTGTGTCCATGTGAGTAATCTAAATCAATTCTTGTAACAGCCCTGCAAAGTCTGTACTGTGACAAAATTTTAAAAACTGATTCTTAAAAAGCTCAAATAACTTGCCCAAAGTCAAACAGCAATGATAAACAGCAGAATGCAAACTTATACCCACGTATGTTTAAAGCCAAAATCCTTTTACCACTTTCTCAAAAGTGTAGGTATTTTATAAAGATTGTACAGCCTCTTTATAGAAGCTTTTTGTACCCAGAAAAGCCTTTGTCTGGTAAGGGGTGGGTATGACCAGCTTTAAGATAACTTCTTTTCAGAAAACCTCCAAGGAACTATGGAAATCCATAGAACAGACTTAGAAAATGTCTGTTCTCAACAAAGCTCTACAAGATTATATAAAAGTTACCTCAGTATATGACTTCTTGGTTATGTGAACATTCTTAGCTCTATAGGACTGACGTCTCCTTTTATAATCCCTCACTTCTGCCAGGATTTCAAGGTAAGATTTTGGACTTTTTCGACTATTATCTAATAAAAGAATAAAATAAAATTTTTATATCCTTAGAAACTTTTAAATTCTTATAAATTAGCAAGACGAAACACCACAATCATATTTCAACACGCTTCACTGTAGCACACAAAAATATTCTTAAAATTCTACATTATATAAATGGGCGAAGTTCTATACCATTCCTTTTCTCTAGCCATCAGCTGAACATAAGGTGTTTAGATACATAGATTAAAGCAACAGCACAGCTGTAATTCTTACAGAAGGAAGCTATGCTTAATGTAAAAATCAGAGAGCAAAATTTCATTGCTGAGTAAACATCTTTTACATGTGAATAACAGATGACACAAAACCATCCTATTCCTACTCCAAGTGGCCTTAATAACAAATCATCTTAATAACATTCAAAGAATGAAATGACAAGAAATATAAAACTATGATATTCATCTCAAACCTTGATTGACTTTTGCAGCCAAGTCTACAAAGAGATCACTGTCATTTTCGATAATTTGAGAATCAGAGCGCTTTTTCTTTGTCTCCTCAATTACAAAATCATAGAGGGCAAGACGATCAGCTTGGGTCAGATCACAAACAAATCGTTTGTGATTCAGAGGAACTTCAACAGGTAATGAAGAATAAATTCCTAAAGTAAAAATAAAACCACAAGAATAAACAATCCATGAAGCATTATGGATTTAAGATCTACTACTTATCTATAAACATGCTCTATATTAATGCAGTATTAACACAATTTTTTTCATAGTAATCCCTAAATTACAAAATATCTATGTGACAAATGATAAGCTCCATCCTGAATGCTACATTCACATAAAGGATATATTGTAGATATTCGCTCTTCTCTCCAACAATGTTAAGACAGATCCCATGAAGGCAGGCAGTAATTATCATAAGACAATGCTCATAAGAAAACCTTTTGAGTAACAATTTTAAAAAGGCTCCCATATTATAAAAGTAGATATTAACTTCCTTTCTGTTTATATGCTTTTTCCCATAAAAGCTTGGGGAGAGGGGGTACTTTTAATAGGTAATACACATTATAGTTGTTTTGAAAATAAATTATGGAAATATGAAAAATGTGTTTAAAATGTCCTTTTTACATGAAACATCAAGCTAGCTGTTCCATATTCAAAATATATTCCATTTGTGCAATGACTCAGAGCTAGGGACCAAAAACCAATGACGCAGCAGAAACCCCACACTTCCTCAGACCAGAGAGAGACAGATTACACTGAGAGTAAACTTGTTTTAATTTTCTGAAGAGGAAGCATATTGGCTTAACCAAGTTAATTGAGAAAAGTTAACAGCATTGCCCCCACAACAGTTACAGAACTTACTAAAATCTGCTCATTAATGAAAAAAAGTAAATACAATACCTTGATATGATGTATTAAACATTGAAGAAAATTTTTGTTTTGAGATTCAAATTTTCTCAAAGAAATAAAAAATTATTGTAACTGTAAATAAAGCAATTTAAAACGATAGTCCTGGACCTCATTATTCACTAATGCAAATATGAGCTATTAAATAAATCCTTATAAATGTTTGCTAGGTTACCCTACAGTAATAACTCTGGTTCATAGAACACTGTAAAATCAGTAGCTCTTCCCAGATAATTATATTTGATATTAGCTTTGTTGATTTTCCTAAGACGTAAAAAACAAACAAATAAAAGCATACTATGAACTAAGCATTGCAACACACACACACACACAAAAATTACATTTGTCTACATATTAAGAGGATACTGAATCTGAGTCTGTGGTTTAACAGCTATAAATAACAATACATGGCCATTTGTACATTTGAATTAGTGGGGAACAAAGGCAATCAATTTTACTCCACTTCTGATAGACACCAGGAAAAGCCTTTCTGTGCAACCAGATGTTGAAACATTTAATTTTATAATATAAAAATGAGTTAGCTTTAATAAACCTAATTCCTTTGAATACAGGCTATAAAAGTCTGGTGGAAAAATGAGAAAAAGATTAGAAAACACTGATGTTCAGTCACACGCCACTTAATGAGGGGGACATGTTATAAGAAATGCATTGTTAAGCGATTTCGTCATTGTGGGACTATCACAGAGCGCACTTTCACCTACTGAGATGGTATAGCCTACTACATACCTATGCTTTGTGGTATAGCCTGTTGCTCCTAGGCTACAGGCCTGCACAGTATGTTGTTACTATACTAAATAAGGCAGGCAATTGTAACTCGATGGTAAGTATTTGTGTATCTCAATATAGTTAAACCTTTTAAAAGTACAGTAAAAATACTGTATAAAAGATTAACTGTGTATGGGGGCGTGTGGTTTGGGGGGGGCACCATGGGAGAGAGAATAGACATCAGGAGGAGGGAGGAAGGAAGGGAGGAAGAGAAGAGAAGGGGAGAGAAAGGGAGAGCAGAAGCAGAGATCGAAAAAGACACAGATAAAGCGTGAGATGTGAATAAAAGGGGTGAGAGAGAGAGACAGGGTAGAAATGGGACTGGGAGGAAAGAGAGACAAAGAGAAAGAGGGAAGGGAAGTGAGTTTGTGTGCTGCAGTGTGTGTGCATGTGTGTACTGGGGTAGGCATGATGGGTGGGGCAGGGAGCTCCTGGACTCCCCCTCCACCCCAGCCTGCTCCCCTCACTCCTTCACCAACTCCAGGCCCCAGCCAGGGACAGGGTGCAGGGCAGGTAGGCAATGTGCTGAGCCTCCTTGTCTATTTAAACCACCAAGAGCTAGGAGTAAATTCAGCATCCTAGTCAGGACCAGCCTTTTCTTTCAACATCACAAACTTCTGCTTATAATCCATCATGATCTTATGGACCACCCTGGTATCTGCAGTTTGCTGCATACCAAAATGTCATTATGCAGTGTGTGACTGGGTTATAAGCAAGCTCCACATAAATCTTTGCTTATAACCCATTATGATCTTATGGACTACCATCGTATATGCAGTTTGCTGCATACCAAAATGTCATTATGCAGTGTGTGACTGGGTTATAAGCAAGCTCCACATAAAACTTTGCCTGTTGTTTTCAAACAAAGAAATATAATTTCCTTCTTGAAATATATTGGAGTTTTCTTTATTCATCTTAAATTTCTGAATGAAGATTGGTACTTAAATTCCTTGAAATTCAACTAAAATTCCAAATCAAGACTAATATTGTGACAGTGACTAAGATAAAGTTTAGAAATTTGAATGATACTTTTAAAAGGATATCATTTGCAAAAAGGATACTGCATATCTTTAAATAAGGAGTACATTCAGGTTCCTAATTCCTCTTTATACTCACCCCAATTACTGAAAAAGAAAAAGTACAGGAAAAGTTAAACAACAAACTGATCATTCAGAACATAGATATTTCTGACAAAAAAAAGGTAAACATACTTAAATAAGCTTACATTTCCATAAAATGTATATTTTCAAAGGCAAGTTTCTATGATTTAGAGGTACATCTCAATGTGCTGTAATCATACCAATTCTGTGATCTTCTACCTACTTTTTTGTACAGCAGATTTTAATTGTGATAAAACATAACATACAATTTACCATTTTAACTATCTTTAAATGTATATAGTTCATTGGCATTAGTATATTTGCACTGTTGCGCAACCATCACTTCTATCCATCTCCAGAACTTTTCATAACCCTGAATGACATTCTAATCCACTTTTTATAACTCTAATTCTCAATTCTTCCTTGTCAGTCACTTTTGCCATCATAGGGCATCTTAAATGTATGAGATACCATATTAAATATTAACTGTTTCTGAAGTACATATTTAGAATTTTAGAGAGAATCCACACCAACTCAATCTTTTAACTTTAGAGATAAAGAAATTATGGCCCACAGAAGCAAAATGACTTGCCAAAGTCTCACATGTGGTAGAAACAGCTTAGCTCTAGAACCACTATAATCCTGTCTCTTTAGGGTTCTTTAGCCATAGTACACTGCTCTTCATATCACAGCCATGACTCAAATACAGTTGACCCTTGAACAAAGCAATAGTTAGGGGTGCTGAGCCCCCTCTTCCCCATGCAGCTGAAAATCCTCACATAAGTTCACTCCTTAAAAACTACAGTCAGCCCTCAGTATCCGTGGGGTGTTGATTCCAGGAAACTTGCACAGATACCAAAATCTGTGGATGCTCAAGTCCCTTATATAAAATGGTATAGAACAATATATAGTCAGCCCTTTACAGCCCTCCAACTGTGGATCAAAATATTGTTTTGGACCCTGGCCTGTTTGGCTCAACAGGTGGAGCATCGGCCTGTGGACCAGAGTCTGGGTTCAGTTCCCGCTAGACGCACATACCAAAAAAAAAAAATAATAAAAAAAAAAAATACTGTTTTGGTATGCTCCTCAGATACCAAGCTTGTGAATATAGAGGGTCAACCGTATTTACTGAAAAGAATCCATGCATAAGTGGGCTTGTGCAATTCAAATCCATGTTGTTCAAGGGTCTACTGTATATGTCATAAAACTGAAGTATAGCAACCTGAATCTTTAATACTGAAATAAAAAGAAACCACTAAATATGATTGTTTATGACCGAAATTAATATCTTGGTTATAAAATTAACCAAAGTAATTATATCTAAAAATAAGTAAGCTGACCTAATGGTTATTTACGCTTTCACGAAGATTAATTGAGACCTAATAAGGCTGATAAAACAAAAACATAAATATAACCTCATCAAAAGAATTTATAATTTAGTGAATAACAAAAAAATGAATTATATGGGAAAATGTAAAATAGTTCATGTTAGTTATCTTCCTTCAAAGTAAATACGCCATAAAAAAGAAAGAGATTTTTGTACTGGAATAAAATGTCTAAGATATAAGTAAGCCACAAAAAATATTCTCTGTTGAGAAATTGCAGAACTCTTCACAAAATGGAAAATAGTTTTAAAAGGAGGGTTACAGATTATATAAAAATAGTTCTCAACAGTTAAATCTTAATTTAGACTAGTGCAAAAATTCAAAATAAAATAAAATTTCCTCTTAATTATGTACCGAAAGAAATATTCATTCAAAATTCAATGTCTAAATCTGCCTTATTACTGTTATATAAATAAAAACTCAGAATATTAGAAAATGTCCTAGAAAATTACATATATACACACATAAAATTCTCACCCATTTCACTATCTTATTGCTTTCTATATATTAATTTGCTTAGAAATTAAATTGCTTAGACAGTAACAGCTACCAATGATTAGTTAGGTCAAGTATTCTTTAGCTCTATTGCTCTAAACAACATCAGAAGATATTTATATTATAGGTAAGAAAGCAAAAAATCAGAAAAGATGCCATTTGTACAACGCGAAGCAACTAGTTTATTTCTTTAAAACAGGCCTACCCAAAGTAGAACACACAATGAACAGTATTAATAGTAACAATATGTACAGATTTGAAGTCTGTCATATTCTTCTACTTAATCATGATAGACATGGCAAATGACTAATATATTTGAGCAATTATCCAGAATCCACAAATATCACTAAATGTAGAGTTGCTAACAAAATGCAGAGTAACTTAATGCAGGGTTTGTGTCAAAATTCAGAACTTGGTCCTTGATCTATCTTTGCTATTGTCTAGCAAAGGAGTATTAATTCACTTGTGTGCCTCTACTTCTTCACCTACTATGGAGGGGGAAATTGCTCGTTCAATCTGTTACAAGTTTGTCGTGAAGAGTAATAAAATATATAGTGAGGCTTTGAAAAAAAGGTCTCTTTTAAAAGGACCTTTAAAACAAACACACCAGAACCTTATCATCTCTATCAGTCGGGGTTTTCCTTATCTGTAAAAAGCAGACACTAGATTAAATGATCTCTGAGTTCTCTTTAAACTCAGTAATCTATCTAACTAGGTAAGGTCAAATAAAGTCCTTTAATACTTAACCCCCCCTCCAAAAAAACCCAAAACCTACTTTTTAATTGGCTAACTAAACAGGGTAGAACCAATCATAGGGGCCAAAAAAAAGCTTGACTGCTATAGCTCAGTAATCTCATCAAGTAAGACGGAAAGTCGACTATCTTCCTCAAAGAGAAAAACCTGGAATTTAGCATAAAAGTACATAAAAATGAGAGCTTCAAAACAGGAAATACATGAAATGTGCTTCTGGCTGTTGTAAGGCACCAATGTAATGTAGATTAAGGGTAAGGGACTACCTCCTTCCAAAGCCACAGTGCAATTTAGGGAGAAATCAAGCCCAGATATTGGCTTAGAAAAATGGATTATAACTGTGAACTTCAACAAGGGAGAAAACAAATCATAACAATGGGCTGGTGAATATAATTCAGTTAGAAAGACGAGTGAAGAAAAAAAAAGATGTCTAAAGAAAGCTACCTTCGGAAGGTTCAAAAGACAACTCAAATCCTTATAAGAGGAGCCAGTCATGCTTAGGTTAGATGTTATAGCCAGGTCAAAAATCCATTACCTCTACTCATTAACTATATTTTTGATGGATAAAGTTTTCTTTCAATGTCCTAAAAGCTCACACTTAAAAATTCTAACCTAGGCCCTGGCTGGTTTTGCTCAGTGGTTAGAGCGTCAGCCCGCGGACCAGAGTCTCAGCTTTGGTTCTTGCTGGGGGCGCATACCTCAGTTGCAGTTTGTCCCCGGCCCCGTGGGGTTGTGTGGGTGGCAGCTAGTCGATGTGTCTCTCTCATATTGATGTTTCTCTCTCTCTTCCTCCCTCTCTCCTTCCCTCTCTATCTGAAGATAAATGCAAAAATGTCCTCGAGTGAGGATAAAAAACAAACAAAAGAAAAACAAAAAATTCTAACCTAGTCTCTGCTAACATAAGTCCCAGGCAGAAACTCTTTACCCAGATCCAAAGCTGGGTATAAGGAACCTAAAAACCCTCTGAATTTGTGTTTTATTCCAAGGGGCAGCTGTGGGGACTAATCTCTTTTAGCCTAAGCCTTTCCTTTTATACTGCATTTCTATATTCTTACATTTCACTGGGCTAATCCTCAAGAGAGAGGAAATCTCAGGCTAAAACAGTCTCACTAAATGGGATTTATTTACTAAATAATCATAGTTTTTAAAATTATCGACAAAGCAATCTCGTCTATTACGTAATTCCAAAGCATGAAGCCCTAGCAGTGTCCTAGTGAGACCTGTGTATTTAAGCAGAAAATATTTAACAAATGAAGTTGACACCAAGCACAGTAGTCTAATGTTAACTGTAAAACTTAACCTTTCCCAAGTAATTGTTCTCACAAAATTTTTAAAAAAAATTAGTAACATGTAAAAAAAAAAATTAGTAACATGTTTGTGGGAGAAAAACAATTTGACTCATTATTTAGCTCAAACTATGATGACACTTACTTTGATTATAACAATCACCATCTTTTCCAACTGCAGTTCTAGCTTGTTTAATTATCTGGAATTGTGAGTCTTTATCTGTCAAAAAAAAAAATCCATAAACACGATTAGATTATTAACTGGTTTCCAATCCAAGTTTTTTAGACACATGAACAAACCTTTAAGAATCTTAAGAGAGGCCCTGGCCAGTTTGGCTCAGCGGTTAGAGCGTGGGCCTGTGGTCCGGAGAGACCCGGGTTTGGTTCCCGCTAGGGGCACGTACTTCGGTTGCAGTTTGTCCCCGGCCCTGGTTGGTCGTGCGGGTGGCAGCCACTCGATGTGTCCCTTCACGTCGATGTTTCTCTCTCTCTCTCCCTTCCTCTCTCTCCCTCCCACTCTATCTGTACAAAAAATGGAAAAATATCCTCGGGTGAGGATAAAAAAAGAATCTTAAGAGAGGAAACACCCACATCGCTCCTAGGTAATCTGAATGGAGCTTTCAGATCTAGCTAGAACCCAGTAAGTAAAAAGAGTGCAAATGGTTCAGAAAACATTCTTGTCAGGCATACAGCAGCAGTCACTACAAATTTTAGCAACCAACAATATCTAACATTTCTTCAATCCCAGCTAAGTGTCAGGCACTATGCTAAGAGTGCTACATATATCATTTAATCCTCATAAGAGTGCTATTACATCATCTGCATTTTATAAAGAAATCTAGGCAACAAACTGATTAATTACCTTGCTGAAAGTCATAAATCTGTTAGTGACAAAACCAGAAGCTGAATCAGGGCCTCCTGATTTTAGAATCCAAGATTTCAACCTCTTAGAACACATTTCTTCAGTCCTATCTTCAAACTGTGTTGTGTGGCCAGAGTTTTGTTATAACCAAGAAAGGTGTCTGTCCTACTGTACAAAGCTTTGCAGAGTTTAAACTGACTATTAACATAGGCCTGGTCTCTAACTTTCAGATTACAAAAACTAGTTTCACTATATATTAATCAATACTACATTCTCTTAAGGTACAAAATGTCCTAAACTATAAGCATACTCATAAAATCCATTCTTTTGATAATCCAAAAATGAATTATCTATATATAGAGAGAGAGAGAGAGAGAGAGATTTTAAAATTATAATCTATTATTATTAATACTTACTCAAAGTGATTGAAGGTATCTTCACATTCTCATAGAAAAATTCAGAATTATACATTTTATCCTAAACAGTAAAAAGAAAAGCAAAAATCTCAGTGTTCTTAAGGATCATATGATTAACTATTTTAAGATTTGACATAAACCAACAACAGATTAGTATCATTTAAATATCTCTTACAATAATTTTTTATATTAGGCTAGTACCATTCTACACCACAAATGACTTTTGTCAGAAAACCTCACCCTATATCTTACACATATTGTGAATTTATTAATGCATGAATTATATGACACATACATAATAAATATACAATACCTCTTCTTCTTTGGTATAGCCCAGTTTTCTCAATCTACACGATACCATGTGCTTTGCTAAAGATGATTTAGGCATGTGATGATTGGAATCATAAGGACATATCACAACTTCATCCTATAAATATCAAACAGAATCAAAGAAAAATGATAATATTTAAAGATTTATTTATTTTCAAATATTAACAGTTCAGTTTTTTGTTTTTCTTTATTGATTTTAGAGAAAGGAAGGGAGAGGGAAAGAAACATTGATGAGAGAGAACATCGACTGGCTGCCTCCTGCACGCCCCCCGCTGGGGATCAGCCTGCAACCTGTGCATGTGCCCTGACTGGGAATCAAACTAACGACCTCTTGGTGCATGAGTCAGCAACCAACCACTGAGCCACACCAGCCGGACTATTTTAAAGATTTAAATAATTAGTCCTGGCTGGCTTGGCTCAGCGATTAGAGCGTCGGCCCGCAGACCAGAGTCCCAGGTTCGGTTCCCGCTAAGGGCACATACCTCGGTTGCGGTTGTGTGGGTGGCAGCCTGTCGATCTTTCTCTCTCTCTCTAACCGCCCCCTCCTGTTCTATCTGAAGAGAAATGCAAAAGTGTCCTTGGGTGAGGATTTTAAAAAAAAGATTTAAATAATTATACCATTAAATGTTTACTACTTTATTAAGTGGTACTATCCAGTTATGTCCTTTTGTGCAGGCCTCTCCCAACACCCTTTGAGTGTATATGCATGTTAACATTTTAAAAGCAGCCCTGGCTGGGTAGTTCCATACACCAAATGATGTCGGGTTAGATTTCCAGTCAGGGCACATACCTGGGTTTCGGGTTTGACCCCAGTCCTAGTTGCATACAGGAGGCAATCAATCGATGTTTTTCTCTCTCTCCCTCCCTCCCTCTCTAAAATCAAATATATCTCAGGTGAGGGAAATAAGTAAAATTTTATTTAAAACCCCCCACTTATTGCTTCTGCCTCCTCTCCACCCCATCAAAGCCCAACTCTGAAAGGCCCGTTCATATTCACTGCCTCAACAACCTCACTTACCAGAGAGTAGGTCACTAACAACCTTCTTGCTACTATAGCCAAAGCAAGTCACAGTCCTTATTGATATCTGAATGCTTTGAAGGTCACAATCCAACTGTCTATTTCTGTTATCCTGATACATTTTTCATGTTCCTTTTACTTCTCTGGCTCTTTCTACCTGGTCTCCTCTAAAGATGTCTTCCTTGTTCTACCTGTCCCCTATTTATTTATTTATTTATTTTCAGAGGGACTTTATACACCTGAGTTACACATATATTTCCTTTTATTTATTTTAATTCCCAATCCCCAACTTCCATCTCTTTGGCAACCATCAGCTTGTTCTCTGTATCTATGACTGTTTCTGTTTTGTTTATTCATTTGGTTTTCGTTTTTAGATTCCATATATAAGTGAAATAAGAGGGTATTTGTCTTTATCAGATTTCACTTAGCATAATTCCTTCATGGTCCATCCATGCTGTTGCAAATGGCAGGATTTCCTTCTTTTTACTGCTGAATAAATTCCATTGTGTATATGTATCACTACCTATCCCCCTTTAAATGGTGGTGTTTCATGTAGGTCTAACCAGTGGCCTTTGCCATTTGATATATACTTATTAGAAGAACTCATGGCTTCAATTTTCACTATATAGTGAAGACTCCCAAAATCTACAGCATTAGACCTTGTTTCTCTTAAGTACTTAACAATAACGACACTAAAAGTTCAACATGACCAAAAGTAAATTATATTCATGGTCTCCTGACCCCAAATCTGTTCATCTTGTGTTTTCCTATTTCAGTAAAGGTCCTACTTGCTCGAGCAGATAATTGCCTCTTCACCTACATCATCCACATCTAATCAATTACCTACCTATCCTTTTCACTCCTAAATAACTCTGAAATCTCTCCACATAATCCATTCCCACTACCACTTTCCCAATTCAGGATATCATGGATTACAACGGCCACTGCCTAACTACTCACTCTACTTCCAGTTTTGTTTTTAACTTTTTATAGAATTTATTGGGGTGATATTGGTTAATAAAATTATATAGATTTCAGGGCCCTGGCCAGGTAGCTCAATTGGTTGCAGCGGTTCTCAACCTGTGGGTCGCGACCCCTTTGGAGATCGAACGACCCTTTCATAGGGGTCGTCTAAGACATAACAGTAGCAAAATTACAGTTATGAAGTAGCAACAAAAATAATTTTATGGTTGGGGGTCACCACAACATGAGGAACTGTAATAAAGGGTTGCAGCATTAGGAAGGTGGAAAACCACTGGGTTAGAGTATTGTCCCGATATGCCAAGGTTGCAGGTTCGATCCCTGGTCAGGGAACATACAAGAATCAACCAATGGCCCTGGCCAGTTTGGCTCAGCGGTTAGAGCATCGGCCTGCGGTCCAGAGAGACCCGGGTTCGGTTCCCGCTAAGGGCACGTACCTCGGTTGCAGTTTGTCCCCGGCCCTGGTTGGTCGTGCGGGTGGCAGCCACTCGATGTGTCCCTTCATGTCGATGTTTCTCTCTCTCTCTCCCTTCCTCTCTCTCCCTCCCGCTCTATCTGTACAAAAAAATGGAAAAAATATCCTCAGGTGAGGATTGAAAAAAAAAAAGAATCAACCAATGAATGTATAAATAAGTGGAACAAAAAACCGATGTCTCTCTCTCCCTTCCTCTTTAAAATCAATAAATAAAGTTTTAAAAATGTATAGGTTTTACATGTACAATTCTATATATAATACATCATCTGTATACTGTATTGTGTGTTTACTACCACAAGTCAAGTCTCCTTCCATCACCAATTTATCCCCCCCCCAACCCACTTCTATCTCCCCACACCCCGCTCTGCTTCCAGTCTTGTCCATTCCATTCTCCACCTGTAGCTAGTTTGAATCCCAGGTCTGCCATTGACTGTATTAAATTAGTCAAGATACTTAGCCTTTCTTTGCTTCACTTTCCTCATCTATAAAATGGGTATAATAGTAGGACCCCTCTCACAAAGCTATTGTGAAGATTAAATAAGTTATACAAGAGTATATACATATAGCAATTCAAACAAGCCCTGGTACATAGCAAGTGTTCAATAAATGGAAGCAAGTATTATGTTATTAAAAGGTAGATGTTGCCTGGCTGGTTTGGCTCAGCTGTCAGAGCATCAGCTGTCAGACCAAAGAGTCTCAGGTTCAATTCTGGTCAAGGGCATATACGTTGGTTGCAGTTTATCCCCAGCCCTGGTTGAGTCATGTGGGAGGCAGCTAGTGGATGTGTCTTTCTTGCATCAATGTGTCGTTCTCCGCCCCCCCCCCCCCCCCATCTGATGACAAATGGAAAAATATCCTCAGGTGAGGATTTAAAAAAAAAAGGTAGATGTTAATTATGATACGCCCTGACTTAAAATGCTTCCATGTCTCCCATATTGCCTTCATTAAAAAATATGTATACAGATTCTTTAAAATAGCTGACACAGGACCCATAAGACCTTGCCCCTACCCACCATCATTCTCCTCCTTCTCCACATCCCAGGCCCTACCTGTTCTTAACTACAGGAGGTCCCTAATCTGGTCATGCCCTTGTCTCTGGACTTCTACATGTGCTCGGGGTGCTTGCTCTGTGCTTCGGCTAGCTAAGTCAGCTCACTTCTACTTACCAGCTTTGAATTCACTTCATCCAGAAGTCATTGCTGTCTCACACAGTCTACAGTAATTCCAACCCACCCTTCATAGCCTTTGTCACATTACAATGTAATGGCTGATTTGTCTGTGTTCCTTCATCACTACTACCAGACAGTAAGCTCCAGGAGGGCAGAAACTGGCTGTCGCTCACTTACCTTCAGTATTAAAACACACTAGCAGAAAAGTATACTCTGACTCACTACCTGGACTGCACCGAGTCTAGGAATTACAGATGTCACCTACCAAGATTTTTAAGCCTGTCATTCTCCTGGTTGTCAGATTCAGGGAATTTTACAAAACAGTTTTGGAGAGGCAGCATAGCAACAAAGCACATAGACTCTCGGGAGCCTGGGTTCAAATCCCAACTGCCATGTATTAGCAGTGTCCGTGGACAAATGACCACCTCTCGCGTTTGTTTTCTCTGTAAGTGTGGCTCCACAGTACCAACCTCAGGAGTAATGAGTACTCAATGAGGTAATATACACTGAGTGGCATGTACAAGGCGCTAACACAAGAAATCCACATTTACGACAATGCTGACTAAGCACTGGTAGGGAAAGGCTCGGCAGGCCCCACGCACTGAAACTCACAGCTTCAAACGTACCTCTAAACGAACATCGTGCTGTTAATACAATAAACATGAACAGTTTGTATATAAATCAAGTACACTTTAAATGCCTCTGGGCAATCGGTCACGTAATTTAAATCCGAGAGAAATTATTACAGCATGGTAAACCCAGAAAGAATTGAGAGATCATGAACTGTCCGTCCCACACGGGCGCCCTTTCCTTCCTGCCACGCCTTAAAAAAAATCAGAACTGGTCACTCGAATACACTCGCCTACGTTTTCCCAAAACAACTGTAACGTTCAGCAAGACTGCTCCCCGAAATAATTCCAGAGTCGGTGCTGTTCCAGGCGGTGTATAATTTTAAGGCAGATACATGCGAACTGAACGCGCAAGCTTTCCCGACGCGGATCGGTGCCACTGCGGCTTCCACGGGGCGGATGACAAAGCGAACGGCCGACACCCCCGCGGCGCACGGAGACCGCGGCTCCTGGCTCCTTTCCGAGCCAGCACCCTCGGCCGGCCGCCCTCCCCAGGGCACCTCGCGTTTCCGCAGCCGGAAGCTCCCCGCTCCCCGGCGGTGCGCCGCGCAGGAGGTGTCGGGCGCTCGGAGCCGCGTCCCGGGGACCCTCTGCGGCCCTGCACTCGGGCGGGGCTCCCACGCCCTTTCCCACGTGGATTCCTCCACCGCCAGGGAAGACGGCAGGTTCGGGGCCCCCAAAGGGACCCTGCAGCCCTCACCTCTGCCGCCTCCTCCTCCCCGGGCTCCAGCCGATCCAGGCTCCAGCCCAGGGAAGACGTCACCTCCTCCAGTGTCCGACAGCAGCTCTCCACGAACTCGGTCAGCTCCTCTCGCAGCCGCCGCCGCTCCTCCACCGGAGGAGGGTCGCCCTCCATGGCCGCACCCGGCCCGCCAAGGGGAAACTGTGGAACCGCTGGCGGCGCGCGCAGGCTTCTGGGAGCTGTGGGCGGGGTCACTCCGCCACGTGACTAGAACCGCCTATAGCGACGGGCCGTGAGACGGGCCGGAGCTGTTCTTTTGAGAGGTTTCCCCATCTCTTTCAAATATTGCTGCCTTAGTAAATGCCCCTGGATGCATTTGCTCCTCGCCTTCACTGAACGGCATGCCCACCCCCACATACTTAAAAGAGAAGAGTGCATCCGTCTAAAGGAAAGTTTGTAGAACAGAACAGTGAGCATTCGCATACCGTCCTCCCGCTCTTTACTGTTACGTTTGGCCACGTCTGCTTTCTCCCGCTCTACCTACCTTCCTTCACAGCCCCACACGCTATTTTTGCTGAATTATTTGAAAGTAAGTTGCAGATACTTCACCCCCAAATGTCTGTATGAATCTTTTAAGAATGAGGATATTTTGCCTACATAACCACAATAAGTGATCAAACCGAAGAAAATTAATCATTTCAAAATGTTTAATACACAGTTCATATTCAAATTTCCCATTGTTTCCCAAATTCCTTTTATAGCCATTTTATTTTTTCCAACTCATGAGCTATAATTGGCTACTTTCTTTTTTAATCTACAAGTCTTCCCATTCTCCTATTTACTTATTTAAATACTCACCAGAGGATATTTTTTCATTGCTTTTCAGATAGAGTGGGAGGGAGGGATAGAGAAACATCGAAGTGAGGGAGACATATGAATTGGTCGCCTCCTGCAGGACCCCGCCCAGGGCTAGGGATCATTTGCAACTGAGGTATGTGCCCTTGACCATAATCTAATTCAAGACTCTTAGGTCCTCTGGCAGGACACTCTAACTGCTGAGCCAAACTGGCCAGGGCCCCCCTACTCTCCTTTTAGTAAAAACATTTTTTTTCTTTATTGATTTTAGAGAAGAAGAGAGATAGAAACATCAATGAGAGAGCACATCGATTGGCTGCCTTCTGCATGCCCCCCCCACACACACACACACTGGGGACTGGGCCCATAACCTGGGGATGTGCCCTGACCAAAAATTAAACCAGTAACCTCTTGTTGAATGGGTTCACGCTCACCACTGAGCCACACCGGCTAGACCCTACTCTCCTTTTTAAATTAAGCCATTGAATTTTGTCAGGAGCCTCAGCTACTTGTCTTATAGAATGCCTGTCTTTCTGGATATGTCACCCCCCCGCTTTATGATTAGATTCTGTTATTAGAAGCATTTTTGCAAGGAGATGTGTGTACTCTTTATTACATTTCATAGAGGACACATATTTTAGATTCTCTATTAGTAATGTGAAATTTGAGCACTGGGTAAAAGGTAATGGCTATATCGCTCCATTTTAATGGTACATTTCCTCTTGGTAATTGGTAATCTGTGGGATACCTTGAGGCCATATGAATGTTCTGTTCTCCAACAAACTCACACAATCCTTCACCGAATCTGTCATTATGCTAGGAGTTATATTAATCCTTTTTTGAAAAAAGTTTTTTATTGACTTCTAGAGACATGGAGAGGTAGAGAAACATCCATGTGAGACATCAATTGACTGCCTACCACATGCCCATCTCCTGGGATGAAGCCTGCAACCCTGGCATGTGCTCCAACAGGAAATGAACAGGCAACTTTTTTTTGGTGCAAAGGACCAAGCAACTGAGTCACACCAGCCAGGGCTTATGATGATTCTTTAATACTATCATGGCTTCTACATTAGCTAGCATTCTTACCACACCTTCATTTTGTCGTTTCAATATAGAATCAAGGTTTTTAAAAAATTACTGATTTATTAATGATAAATTATTTTTAAATTCATTATTCCACTACCATCATAATTCTTGTTGATGCTCAAATTCTCAAATTTGACCTGCGGGAGCCACTTTTAAACCCCATATCTGTCTCTTTGACATGTTCCCATAAGTCCTTGAGCACTTCCTTACATTGATTAACCCACACTTACTTTGTACATTTCCTAGCCAAGATCTGGAATCAGTGCTTTAGGTTTTCCCAGATAGTTTTAACTCCCAGAATCAAATCCCTTGTATATTATTTATTTTTATTTTATTCAAGTTGATGCCAAATCTTTGCTTCCCTTTGCACCTGTATCTACCAGATAAAGAAACAACCATGAAGGAAATTTTTATGATTTTTTGCTGTTTCCAAAGCAAACAGCACAATTCTCTCACCTACAGAAAAATGGTGATTGTAAAAAGGCAATGGCAGATAATACAGAAAAAGCCAACAACTACGAACAGATGTGGGGTAAGGGATGAGTTCTAGAAGGAGTTTATTCACTCTGTCCCCAGCATCTTTACTTTTTTATTCACATTTACCATTAGCCCAGCCTGGAAAATGTGAAGACTATTTGAATATGAGATGATTTTCACTGAAAAATTATGTATTTCCCTTTCCAGATGCACCGTGTATGTGAACCAAATCAAAACTTAGTGCAGATCAAGAATGTCTTCTCTTCCAGGACACAGGCCCTATCTCATCTCAGAGGTTAATGACAGCTTCCACAGCAGCTTAGAGCAGGTGCACTCCTTCAGCCTTAGGAACTGCTTTATACTGATGCTTGTTCATCTATTTAATCATCATTTTCCTAGAGCAGCCCCCTGCCCTATTCCTGAGAGGCGCAAAGGCTTCGCTGGGACACAGAATTGGTAAGAAAAAGGAGGTCTGAACTCAGCGTTCTCCTCCAGGCCAGGACCTGGGACATTCCAGGGAGCTGTGGGGAGGGCTGTGTTGGTTACTGCTGTAGAGGTATGGAGATGACATGGGTGAGGAGGGTGAATGGTCAACAGCAAAGGGGGGGCTTTGAGGGGCTCTGATTGGAGGAAGGGCCCAGACTATGGAACCTTGAAGGGGTGACCTCACTTCCTGGGTATCAGACCCCCAGTGGAAATGAGAACCAGGCACCCAAATTCTAGCTCACTAGACTGGAGACAGGAGAGTAGGATGCGTCTCGACTTTCCGAGGCCCTGGGCCAAAGAAAGCCTGGAGTGAGTTTCTGTTGCTGTAGACTTTGGCACAAGCTCCACCACCACCTCTTGCCCTCTGGCACAAAACACCCTCAGGTAAACTAGGGCAACCCAGGGCAGGACCATCCAGGCCAGGTCCCAGCTAGAATTCCCCCTGCCCAGCCCCACACCCCTCCTGAGTATGTGTGTGGGCTGGGGCTGGCGAGGGAAAGTGTGGGACAAGGGGCACTCATCCTGGGCAGGAGCAGGTTGTTAGCAGCTGGAACCTGGTGGGTCTGTCACGTTCACAGCCCAGGTCATGGCTGTCAGGATGGAAAGGTGAGAGCTGGGGAAAAAGCTCCTGTACCCACTTGTTAATCTTCAGCTCTCAGGGTGTCATCTCGTTCCTTCCTGGGCTGGAGGTCTTAGCAGATGCCCCTTTGAGCCTGATCTGGCGAGCAGAATTAGTGTGGGCTTCTCCCCCAGCTGGCAATGCCGTGGCAGGCTACTGACGCCTCTGGGCCCGGGACCGGGCTCTGTGTTTGTAGCGCTCCAAGGAGGACGTCATAGAGGAGCTGGCTGACGGGTTCACTTATGCTACCAACCAGTACAAGGGATGAGAACGCCAGGCCAGGATGACTGCCCAGAGCGCGGCTGAGGTGAGGGCTGTCCCACATGTAGGACCTGAGATGACGGGGGTGGGGCCAGAACCCAGACACAAATCTGGGGCCCACTCCCAGAGAAACCTGTACCTCCAATCCTCCCAACCAGGTTCCTGGTAGTGTAGGAATAGTCTTCACATATTTGTTGGAATGGTGGAGAAAACAAATTCTTGCTGTCTTTGCAGGTGGCTGGTTTCCATTGTTTAACTACCTGCCCCAGGTATCCTGCAGAGCACTGAGCTCCACTGTCCTTGCAGACCTTCTCCAGGCCTTACACATCATCACACTTGAGGGTGGTTTGTACAAAAAACAAACGAAACAAAACCAAAGCAACAAACAAACAAAACGGGGAGGGATTAAGGTATCAGACATGTCTCTGCAACTTGTCAACTCACAGAGCACAGCCAACCACTGCAGGCCAGCCAGGTCAAGAGCGGTGACCTTACTCCTCCCTATATCATCCCCATAGAGGATGTAGTTTTCCTCAGTGATTCTGCCTTTTAGTGCTGGTGGAACCCGATTCAATTTTGCTGCTAGTTCCACAGGGCTGCTGAAAACATCCTCGTCGTGTCCCAACACACTGTCCCAGTTTGCCAGGGCTGCTGGAAGGTACAACCACGCACTGTGGAGGGTTCCTAATGCCGGGTGCTGGGCTCAGTCTCTGTAGAGCTCCAATAAGGACGTTGTCCATGAGTTCCTCGGTGGGTCCAACTCCTTGACCTCCCTAGACGAGGGGAAAGGGCATCAGGCCACAGGCCACAGGAACCATCCAGTGCCAGACTGAGGTGAGAACTGACGCCAGGGAAGTCTTCACGCACACAGACCCCAGGTGACCTGGCAGTGCTGAGAACCCAGACGCCAATGTGGGAACTATCCAGGGGCCCTCCCAGGGATTCCCCTAGTGTGTCCCAAAGTCCCACGCACAAAGGAATCTGGACCTCCCCTTGTCTCTCCTGCTACATGGCAGGGTAGAAAGGCACTCCTCACCTATGTTTAGGAACATTCGAGGAAAAACATCAGAGGAGACCACCAGCACATCTGTATCTTCCTGTTTTTATTGTTTAAACTGCCTGCCCCGGGTAATCAGTGGAGCAGTCAGCTTGAATGTCCTTGCATATCTCCAATAATGGAGGTATTCAGCCTGGCCAGTGTGGCGCAGTGGTTGAGCATCGACCCATGCACCAAGAGGTCACCGATTTGATTCCTAGTCAAGGTACATGCCTAGGTCATGGGCCAAATCCCCAGTGGGGGGCATGCAGGAAGTGGCCAATCGATGTTCTCTCTCATCGATGTTTCTATCTCTCTCCTTCTCTCTCCCTTGCTCTCTCTCTAAAATCAATGAAGAAGAAATAAATAAATAAATAAATAAATAAATAAATAAATGAAATGTTTAAAAATAAATAATCATCTGCCACAGTGATGCAGACTTTCAGAGCTTTGGACATTGGCACAATTCAATTCAGGCGCCAGGTCAGCAGTGCAGCCGGGACCACCCAGGTGTGTCTGAAAGGACTGCAGGACTTTCCATGTGCTGCTATAATGACGAACCACACGGGCTGGTGTAAAAAGCAGGCACCTATGTCAAACTCTAAGAGCTGCAGGCAGCCCTGGCCAGTTTGGCTTAGCAGTTAGAGCGTCAGCCCGTGGACCAGAGAGTCCTGGGTTCGGTTCCCGCTAAGGACACGTACTTCAGTTGCAGTTTGTCCTCGGCCCCGGTTGGGATCGTGTGGATGGCAACCAGTTGATGTGTCTCTCTCACACTGATGTTTCTCTCTCTCTTCCCCCCTCTTTCCCTCCCACTCTATCTGAAGATAAATGCAAAAAATGTCCTCAAATGAGGATTAAAAAAAAAAAAAAAGCTACAGGCAGATGGTAAACGGGAAAAGACTACTAGATGTACTGTGGTTATTTATGGCAATTATTTCTGTCCCCGTAAAAAATCACCTGCCTCACCCATCAGTGGCCTGTAGCATTTCTGGGTTTTTTTGTTTGTTTGTTTGTTTTTAGTTTTTGTATTTTACTTGGCCTGTGTCATTTCTGAGTTTGCAAAACCACTTAGAAAACAACCAGTCAACAAGTTTGGGAACCCACTTAGTTGATCCTTGTCCTCATCTTTGGTGTTGGCAGATTGGGGATCTCTGGCGACAGGAGGGGCCCTAGGCCTACTCAGCTGTGTGGGATGGCTTTGCTTGGAGTTCATTCATTGGACAATGCACATGAAGTACCTCCTCTAAGTGGGCACTTTTAGACACACTTAGCATAACTGATGGAATGCAACAGACACAATCCCTGGGCCTCGGTTCTACTCAGTGAATCAGACAGTCACATGGAACATCATTCGCAGGTCCTGCCCACCGTCCATCACGTCTGAGCCATCACGGTCTTCTCCACATCTGGGGGCACACCTCCTTACAGTGACCAGGGTGACACACCACAGTACCAAGTAAGAGAGTGGTCTTTGTGCCCCGAAGGAGGGCCTGCTGTGTTTACAGGATGGAGGCTGTGGGTAGGAAGGCCTGGCAGAACTGAGCTCTTACACACCTTCTCATTCCCTAGGGAGGCCTGAGCTCTGGTGGCTTCTATCCCAGGAGGACAGGAGTCAAAGAGGACGGTGGACAGAGCCACTGATCTCAGAGATCCAAAGAGGAGGGTGGACTGAAGTGTCCTCCCGAGTCTCAAACCCACCACAGTCCCATCCTGCTCTGCCTGCCCCTCTCCACAGTCCTCTGTCCCAACCACCGTCACCAGCTCATGACAGGAGACACACTGAGCAGCATGCTCACAAATCTGTCTCAATCCTCCGTGCAGAAGCCCAGGTGCATGGAGAGCTGGGTTGGGCAGTGGACAGGGACATCAAGACAAATGTCAGTGGGAAGAAAAAATTCACATTGACTGTGTGAAGCTGCTAAATCACCAGAACTGCTACTCTCAGGACAGCAACACAGGGGTCGGGACTTGCACGGGGCTGACCCCGGATGGGCCGGGGCAGGCCCCGAGGTCCGCTCCCAAGCAAGCGTGCCACGGGAGGTCAGCGTGCAGGCAAAGAGCAGGAGTCTGACTCTGCTGCCTCACCGCCTCTCCCCAGGGCCATCGCTTCTACGGCAGGAACCTGGCCGGACCAGGTGCAGGGTTTCGGCCAGGCTTTCCGCTTCCCCTGGTTCCAGCTGAAGCAGGCCTCAGTGCAGGTCCACGTCCCAGCCTCGCACCACGTGGGCCACGCCCACCTTGTTTAGATTAATCAGCAGCATCCACAGCCCACCCAGGCAACTCTGGAAGGTGAGGGGATTGCAGTCAGGGAAGATGATCCGGGGAGGGGAGGAGTTCACTTCAAGGTAGGAGCATCTTTCCTGTCCTTGGAAAGGCATGAGAAAATCAGCTCTGTGCGTGAACCTCTTTTTTCCTGTTCCAGATCCATCTCCAGAGCTCCAGACCCCTACAGAGGCAGAGGAAGGGCCTGCTCAGGGGCCACAGCATGGTCCAGGCAGCAAGCAGTACCTGAAGCCATTGTGGGGGCATGTGTTTGAGCCTTATTTCTTTCTGTCTAAAAAGTTCTAAGCAATTATCCTAAGTAAATAGATAAATAGTAGAAATATACCCCAACAATATATTTATGATAGCAAAACCTAATCATTTCCATTAAATGAACTATATGCCATTAAATGAAATACTCTGGAACAAATAGAAATAAAGTTGCTGATGAAAAATGTATAGATAATATCTGCTCACATATACACACATAATATGATTGTGTATTTCTTATGTGTGCCCATTATAAATATGGAACGATGCACAGTACACATTTTTTAAATCCCTTCTAAAAGAGATTTAAATTTTATGATAATTAAACAAATATACACTGACAAAGGCAGAAAATAAAAACATATATACAAAAATGTTAACATTTGTGAACTGTGACAAGTGGGACTACACGTGACTGTGTCTCCTCTTTATACTTAGCTGTTTTCTGGTTTTTGTACAAGGATCATATATTCATCATAAACTATTTTAGAATTAAGTGTTTATATATGTTATAATTTAAGAGTCCATAAAGGTCAATGATGTCGCCATTATCAATAACATCTTTCTAAATTTTTCCAAGTGCCGTGTCGTATCGTGAAATGATCTCATTAAAAGCAAAGCAATGTGCCCTGGCCGGTTTTGCTCAGCGGTTAGAGCATCGGCCTGCAGTCCAGACACCCGGGTTCGGTTCCCGCTAAGGGCACGTACCTCGGTTGCAGTTTGTCCCCGGCCCTAGTTGGTCGTGCGGGTGGCAGCCACTCGATGTGTCCCTTTCATGTCGATGTTTCTCTCTCTCTCCCCCTCCCACTCTATCTGAACAAAAAATGGAAAAATGTCCTTGGGTGAGGATTAAAAAGAAATAAAATAAAATAAAGCAAAGCAATGTCATGGGCTACATTCGGCTTCCCTCAGGGCTTAGTGTGATCTGCTATCCGAGCAGTGAGAACCACTACAGTAGCTCATAATATTTACAACCACGAAGGATAGGAAGAACATCCCTTTGATTGTAGCTAAAATAATGGAAAAGAACTTGCCCCACTAAACACTTACTTAATCATTTCCTTCCTCCTCACTGAGCCCAGAATTGAGCATACCGGCCAAATTCAACTGAGAAGCGGTGGTGGCTGCAGGGGACCAGGCATAAGGAGACAAGGTGAGAGTTCCCAGTGCTATCGGAAGGGCCCCAGTTCACTGACACAGCTGAAATGGAAACAATTTACAATTAAAATGAAAACCAACATGGCAAAAACATTTTAAGCAAATTAATAATAATGATTGGAAAGCAATCTGTAGGCCAGGATTTCAGAAGAAGGCAGCACCAGGTCAATCCACACAAACCTGTGCTGAATCACCCAGAGGCCATTCTCATGTTACTACTCTGGCTCTGAAGGGAGAGTTTCCTCTCTTTCCATTTCTATGGCTTTGAATGAAAACCAGCTGGTCTAGAAAACATGTAGATGCTCCTCAAGTATCCAAAGACAGAAACCTAAACGTCCACTCTCACTGTATTTTAAATTTTACTTAACTTTAGGTACTGTAAATTTAATTTTAAAAAGTGCGACGTGCCCTGGCCAGTTTGGCTCAGTGGTTAGAGCGTCGGCCTGCGGTCCTGAGAGACCCGGGTTCGGTTCCTGCTAAGGGCACGTACTTCGGTTGCAGTTTGTCCCCGGCCCTGGTTGGTCGTGCGGGTGGCAGCCACTCGATGTGTCCCTTCACATCGATGTTTCTCTCTCTCTCTCCTTCCTCTCTCTCCCTCCCACACTATCTGTACAAAAAAATAGAAAAATATCCTCGGGTGAGGATAAAAAATAAAAATAAAAAATAATAAAATAATAAAATAAAAAGTGCGACGTAACTAGTGATGACCATACTGGAAGAGCAGTTAAAGACACTAGCAAACAGAGTTGAAACCGGCATTCCTTAATTTCAGGACACCTTTCCCCACAAGGCCACACAGGAGAGATACAGGACCATCAGTGTCACACTATCAACAGGAAGACCATTTCCAGCTGCCATTCCATCCCCCCCTTCTCCCCGGGCAGAGGCCGCCTCCTTCAGCAGCAGTGTGATGCTAACCTGCCCCCTGTCCCTTGCAGTGGGACAGTTCTGGCCAAGGGCTCATGAAAGAGTCCCATAGATGATTTCCGAGACAATATTTTCTTCCCTGAGAAAAAGGACAATGAAGAGAAGACTGTTTCCCTCTCTTGTGACAAGGAGAAGGTGAAGAATGAGAAGCACACCCTGACATCACTGAGCAGCTGAAGTCAATCCTGGCTCCACCTACCTGTGGGTTTGTTACTTTGTGAGAAAATAATTCCCTGTTGTTTAAGATGGATTTTATCACTATTTTGTTGCTTACAATCCTCAGCTTCCACACCAAATGAAATAGGTCCAACTTCTGATGGTGGGCAAGGTTGGATCGCTTCATGGTTTTGCAAGAAACGTGTAAGTGTGGGAGCAGAGAGGAGGACAGAGGAAAGATGGGAGACGCTTGAAAGAAGTATCAACAGTCTTCCGTTCCAGCAGGTACCTTTGGGACACAAGGCATGACACAGCTGTAAGCTGGGGTGGGAGAGTATGATGCCAGTGAGGACTTCCAAGTGTGACCAGAGGAATGTGGTGAAGGAGGGACAGATGGAAAAATCACCAAAGATCTGATCATGGAGGGCCTGGAGGGGACATGCTAGGCATTCTGGAGTTATTTCTAAAGGCCATAGGAAAGCATTGTCAGTTTTAAATAAAAGACAGGGTCATATTTACATTTTGAAATGATCATTCGGGCTGCAAGTAGGGTAGAGAAAGGTTTGAAATGAAGCAACACTAGAGTTTGAGAGGCCAGAGAAAACAAACACATCCTATCAAGAGGCCATGGTGTCGATGTTACTTAGTACTCTCAAAGCCAACTGATCACTTCAAATTGGAATCATTTTGTCAAGAATGTCAGTGTTGAAAGGTATGACACACAGGGTTCTTCATGGAACTTGCCAGGTTAATTCTAGCACTTATAAGGAAGTAGCAAACTATGCCGTCTCTTTTCTCAGACCAAGAGACTCCTTAGAATAAAGAGAGAGAGAACTTGCCAAATATCAAGATTTATAGAAGTGATAAGGAAAATGGTGTGGAGTCAGCTCAGAGATAGAAAAATAGATCAGTGGCACAAAGTAGCACAAGAAACAAAGCCACCCCTATCTAGAACTTGGCAAATAGTGTGTGGCATTGCAGATTACCGGAGAAGAAAAGTATGAGTCAATAAGGAATGTGGGTGCAATTGGTCAGACATGGGGGGAAGAGTGAATGGGATCAGAATCTCACAGCAATTCCTGAGCATTTGATAAGCAGAGAGACACCCTCATCAGAAGTCAGCACCTGCAGGAACCAGGCACCAACTGCAGGCACCTCACCTTCACTCCAGGGTCAAGCCTGCACTGACCTTGATTTGTTTGCCTGAGAAACCCACAGGCTTCAGAGAGCTTGCCTCAAGGTCTCTGGGACAAAATACACACACACACACACACACACACACACACACACAGATGAGGATGAAAAGTCTGTTGAGACCTCACTCTAAGTTGGCTCCTGCAATCCTGGCGCACTGGGATGATGCTCCAACCCAGTTACCCGACCAGATCCTCAGTGCCTTTTCAAAAACCCACAACTGAGGTACATGACCTTGACTGGAATCAAAACCACAACTCTTTTGTCTGCAGGCCAAAGCTTTAACTGCTTAGTCAAATTAGCCAGGGCTCCATTGATTCTTAGAGAGAGTAGAACGGAGGGAGGGGAAGAGAGGGAGGAGGAAGGAGAGAGAGGGAGGGAGTGGGAGGGACAGAGAGAGAGACAAAGAGACAGAGACATCTCAATTGGTTGCATCCGACATGTGCTCTATCTGGGGCCAGGCACTGAACCTGGAACTCAGGTATGAGACCATGACCGGGAATCAAACCCATGACCCTTTGGTGTGCAGGATGATACACTGAGCCACAATGTCCAGGGGGAGGGCTTGAAGATTTTTATTTAAGCAAACACATAATTATAAAACAAAGGTCAGGGAGACAGGTGTGACCAAATACAATGTAAATAGGTTAATAGGAAAACTAAGATATGGGGCTTTTCTAATTGTACAGATTTCAGTTAGCTGTCCATTAGCTATTCACTTTATCCAGGCATTTTGAAATCTCAGCTTACTTTCCCAATTTTGCAGCTAAGGCACTGAATCCCAAAAGAAGAGCCAGAGAACACATTTTACACTGCCTCTGTGAATTCCCATTGCTAACCAGACTAGAAGTAAGTGACACCAGGACAGGGCAGCAGGGGGACTGGTGGAAGGGCACCGAACAGGAGTCACTCTGTTTCACCCTGTCCTGGAGGAGCCTTGGCCATTCCTTCTGCAGCACATGCTGAGCCAGTTTACCACACGGGCCCCGCCCACTTAACCAGGCTGACTGGGCACCAAACATTACCTGTCTATGCAGACTAACTCTGTATGCTAATGAATTCTCCAACAGCAATAACTATCATCACAATTTAACATGGAAGGTGAAATAAAGAGGTTCCCAGTGACGTTCATTACCACCAAACCAGCACTGTAAGAAATGTTATAGGGACTCCTGGAAGAAGAAGAAGAAATAGAGAGAGAGAAACATAGGCATAAAAATAAAAGTGGCAAGAAACAAGTACCTATCAGTAATAATCTTACATGTAAATGGAATAAATGCTCCAAACAAAAGACATAGAGCGGATGAATGGATAGGAATACATTATCCACATATATGCTGTCTACAAGAGACCCACCTCAGAACAAATGACTCACACAGGATGAAAGTGAAGGGATGTAAAACAATATTCCACGCAAATGGAAACAAAAAAGCTGGGGTAGCAACACTTATGTCTGACACAACAGACATCAAAACAAAGGCCATAACAGACAAAGAAGGTCACTGCATAATTCTAAGATTGATCCAACAGAGAATAGAACCTTGGAAAACACATATACACCCAATATAGGAACAGAAATATATTTTTGAGTCTTGGAGGACTTTAGGGAGAGATCGACGGCAATACAGTCATAGTAGGGGATCTGAACACGCCACTGACATCACTGGATAGACCTTGCAGACAACAAATCAACAAGGAAAAAAACAACCTTAAATTAATCAGATGGATTAATTGATATTTACAGCACACTTCATCTTCATACTACAGAATATACATTCTCAAAGACAGCATGCTAGGACTCAAAATAAGTCTTAAAAAATTTCAAGAAAACTAAAAGCATATCAAGCATCTTCTCGAATCACAGTGGCATGATCACCTGCAATAAAAAACTAAAAATCACCTGCAATAAAAAACTTAAAGATATTCAAACACACGGGAGCTAAATAGCATAATGAATGGGTTACCAATGAAATTAAGGAGGAAACCAATAACTACCGGGAAACAAATGAAAATGAACACACAACCCAAAATCTAAGGGACACAGCTAAAGCATTACAGGCTTACTTCAAGAAACAAGATAAACAGTTATTTCCTAAAATAACTAGGAAAAGAACAAGAAAAGCCCAAAGTACAAGGAAGGAAATAATCAATGTCAGAGGAAATTAATGACATAGAGACTAAAAACAAAAAACAAACAAAAAATATATATATGAAAAAAAAAAAATCAGTGCAACCAAGATCTGGTTCTTTGACAAGATAAACTAGACTGATGTACCTTTAACCACATTCATCAAGAAACAGAGACAACACAAATAAATAAAATCATAAATGAAAGAGGCAAAGTAAGAACTGACATCACAGAAATAAAAAAGACTGTAAGAACATACTATGAACCCTATATGCCAACAAATTGGACAGCCTGGGTAATATGGACAAATTCCCAGAAACATACGATCTTACAAAAGTGAATCAGGAAGAATTAGAAAACCTAAATAGACTGATAACAACTAATGAAATTAAAGTAGTAATAAAAAAGCTCCCAGGAAACAAAGTCCTGGACAAGATGGCTTCACAGGTGTATCTTACCAAACACTCAAAGGGCTAACATTTTCCTCATCAAACCAGTCCAAAAAATTCAAGGGAAGGGAAGGCTTCCAAGCTCTTTTAATGAGGACAGCAATAACCTAATTCCAAAACCAGATAAAGATAGTATACAGAAAGAAAACTACAGCCGGGTTGGTGAGGCTCACTGGATTGAGCATGGTCCCATGGACTTAGAGGTCCACATTCTGTTCCTGAGGTCAGGGCAGGAGCCCAGGATGTGGACTCAATTCCCAGTCGGGGGCATACAGGAGGCAGCTGGTCCAAGGTTCTCTCTCACATGGATGTTTCTCTCTCTCTGTCTTACTTCATCTCTTTCTCTAAAAAAGCAATAAAAATATACTTTTTTTAAAAAGAAAGAAAATTAGAGCCCAATATCCCTGATGAACACAGATGCTAAAATCCTCAATTAAGTATTAGGAAATCGGATCCAACAATAGTTGAAAAAGATCACAAGTGGGATTTATTCCGGAGATCCAAGGTTGGTGCAATATTTGCAAATCAATAAATGTAATGCATCACATAAATAATGAAAAATAAAAATCACATGATCATATCAATACATGAAGAATGAGCATTTGACAAAATCTAGCACCCATTTATGATGAAAACGTCCAGTGAAGTAGGAATAGTGGGTTTGTACCTCAACATAATAAAGGCCATATATAAAAAAGCTATTCAGTACCATACTCAACGGGCAAAAAAAATAAGTGTTTCCCTTAATCAGGAAAAAGACAGTGAACCCGGGTCACGTTGATCTGCGGGCCGACACTCTAACCACTGAACCAAACCAGCCAGGTCTTCACTACTATTATTCAACAGAGTACTGGAAGTCCTAGCCACAGTGATTGGACAAGAAGAAAAAATAAAAGACATCCAAATTGGAAAGGAGGAAGTAAAACTGTCATTCATCTCCCAGATGACTTGATTTTGTTCAAAGAAAACCCTAAAGACTCCACCAAAAAGCAAATGCAGTTAATAAATGAATTTGGCAAAGTAGCAGGATACAAAATTAATATCCAGAAATTGCTGTCACTTTTATCCACCATCAATGAACTTTCAGAAAGAGAATCTAAGGAAACAATCCCCCAACAACAACAGAAATCACAAGGCACCAAAAAATAAACTTAATCCTGAAAGTAAAAGACCTATACTTGAAAAACTACAAGATATTAAATAAATAAATGTAGGAAGATGAAAACAAGTGGAAGCATATACCATGTTACTGATTAGGAGAATTAACATCATTAAAAGGTCCATACTTCCCAAAGCAATCTATAGATTCAACACAATTCCTATTAAAATACCAATGGCATATTTTACAGATCTAAAACAAATACTGAAAAAAAATTTATGTGGAACCAAAAAAGACCCCAAATATCCTTAAGAAGAACAAAGTTGGAGGGATATCAAAATGTACCACAAAGCTACCGTAATTATAACAGCCTGGTACTGGCACAAGATCAATTATATAGATCAACAGAACACAACAGAGAGCACAGAAACCCACCCACGCCTTTGAGGTCAATAAATATTTGACAAAGGAGGCAAGAGCATACAGTGGAATAGAGACAGTCTCTTCAATAAATGGTGTTGAGAAAATTGGACAAGTACATGCAAAAAATGAAACTAGACCGCCAACTTATACCATTCACAAGAACAAATTCAAAATAAATAAAAGATTTAAAAGTATGTCGCAAAACCATAAAACTCCTAGAAGAAAACAGGCAGTAAAATCTTACACATCTCCCATAGCAGTATTTTTGCTGATACGTCTCCTAGGCCAAGGAAGAAATAAACAAAGAGAACTATATCAAACTAAAAAGCTTCTGCAAGCCCACTGGCATGGCTCAGTGGTTGAGCGTCGATCCATGCACCAAGAGGTCTCCGTGGTTTGATTCCTGGTCAGGGCACATGCCCAGGATTCGGGCTCCATTCCCAGTGGGGGATGTGCAGGAGGCAGCCGACTGATGATTCTCTTATCCATGTTACTGTCTCTCTCTCTCCCTCTCCATTTGTCTCTCTCTAATAATCAATAAAAACATTATTAGTTAAAAAAAAAAGTTTCTGCACAGTAAAAGAAACCATCAACAAAATGAAAAGGGAACCCACTGTATGGAGAATATATTCATCAATGATACATCTGATAAGGGGTTAATTTTCAAAATATAAAAAGAACTTACATAACTCAACAATGGGAATACAAGCCATCTAATTAAAAATGGGCAAAGGGACCTTGCTCATTTGGCTCAGTGGTTAGAGCTTCGGCACAAGGACCTAAGGTTCTCAGGTTCAATTCCCAGTCAAGGGTACATACCTGGGTTGCTGGTTCAATCCCCAGTCCTGGTTGGTGTCTCACAGGAGGCAACCAATTGATGTGTCTTTCTCACATCATTGTTTATCTCTCCCTCTCTCCCTCACTCTATCTAAAAATCAATGGAAAACCAGCCTCTTTTGATGAGGATCAAAAGTAAAACAAACAAAAAATGAGCAAATAGACACTTCTCCAAGGAGGACATGCAGATGGCCAGTAGACAGAAAAATGCTCCATGTCACTAATCATCAGAGAGATGTAAATTAAAACCACAATGAGATATCACCTCACACCTGTCAGAATGACTACCCATCAACAAATCAAGAAACAACCAGTGCCGGTGAGGATGTGGAGAAAAGGGAACCCTAGTACGCTGCTGGTGGGAATGCAGACTAGAGCAGCAGCCGGAAGACATGGTTGTGGAAAACAGTATTTAGTTTCCTCAAAAAATTACAAATGCAACTGCTATTTGATCCAGTGATCCCACTTTTAGGAACATATCCCCAAATCCTGAAACATCAATAAAAAAGAATATATGCACCTCTATGTTTATAGCAGCGTTATTCACAACAACCAAAAATCTGGAAACAACCCAGGTGTCCATCAGTACATGAGTGAATAGAAAAGCTGTGGTACATTTACTCGATGGAATACTATGCAGCTGTAAAAAAAGAAGCTATTACTCTTTGCAACAGCATGAATGGACCTGGATTACTATACTGAGCAATATAAGCCAGTCAGAAGACGACAAATATCACATGATCTCATTGATATTTGGAATCCAATGAACAAAATAAACTGATAATCAGAAAAGGACCAGAGGCATAGATACATGGAACAGATTGACAGATCTCAGAAGGCAGGGAGGTAGGGGCACAGGGAGAGATTAACTGAGGAACATAAATGCATATATATGCATAGCCCATGGACACAGAATATAATGGGGTGTAGGCCTGGGGGTGGAGTGCGGGAGTGTGGGTGGAAGGGGACTAAGGGAGGGGAAAAGAGGGGCCTCTGTAAGGATCAACAATAATTTTAAAAATATATAGCAGCAAAGTGATACTATTTTCTAAGCAGAAAAAAAACACAAAATGGCAATAAAGCCAAAAATCTCCACATAAGGACAAAGGTATTCCACTTGGCTCTCCAAATACTATCATCAGTATAATTAACTTGACTGGCCACAGAAAACCCACTAAGGTTCAAAGACTCCCGCCAACATCATCACAAACCCTCCTACAAACACGGGGGGCCAGGACCTCACCACTATCAGCTGCACCTCTCCAACAGCACCCTCGGACTCCCATTGTCCACCAGGCCTGTGGAAGGGCCTTCAGAGCTCAGGTCTTTCCTCGACTCCCTCCCCTTCCCTCCGGCGAGTCCACTCCGGGGTGGGCGCCGAGCTAACACCTCCCTGGAGTCCAACTGCAGGTATTTTCAAGGCAGCTGTCCCCAGCTTCCCAGGAAAGTGAGGAGACCTCTCTGCAGCCCCAGGACGCCCAGTTCCGGGTGTCCATCGGGATCCCAGGACCAAGTCTCCTCCAGCCCCACGCAACATCAGACCCCGCTAGGCTGCACTTTGCACGCTGATGTCGGGCACAGAGGAGTCTTTAGAAAGCCGCCCGCAGCCCCACTTCCAAACGGCCCTCAGGGAGCTGCTGTAACCCAGGAGAGTCATCCTCACTCAGACATCAAGTAATTTTGAATATTAGGAGCTTTATTACCTGCGCAGGGACTGCAGCCAACCTACACCGATAACTGCAGCCCCGAGCTCAGGGGGAGGGTTGCTTATATAGGACAGGGGTTACTCAAGAGTTTAGCAGAGCAAGCAAGCTACGTGTACAGAAGCAGATATCAGCAGTTAGTAACCGCATAAGTTGTTTATTTTATATTTCTTAACATTTACTAGACCCTAGCCTTGAATGTCTCATTGCCCCGTCTGGTATCTCCTGATTAGTTAAGTTCATAGTCAATACCCTTGTGGTCATGGCTGATGCATACCTTCCTCTTCAAGAATTTTTACAAAAACACCTCGGGTTCAAGGAACCCAGGAGAGGTTCCTTCTTCTAGCAGATGGAGAATTACTGGGTTATAACAGGAGCAGGGCAGTGACCGAAAGGCGCAGCCCGCCCCCAGGAACCCAGCCCTCCGGAACCAGGGCGCCCTGGCAGAGCCCAACACGAGCCCACCACACGACTCTCCGCCACCTGGCCCGCAAGCTCTTGGGCTTCTGGGTCTCGGACATGGCGGAGGGGCCAGAGGGGCCGGGAAGATGCGGTTGGCTTTCCCCCGGGTCCATCCCGTGCGCGCCGCGGTCCGGGCTGCGCACCCCGAGGCTGCAGGTGGGAGCCCGGGGGACGTAACTGCTCCCGCCTCCTCCAGAGGCCGCGCCGGGGCCGACCGACGGGGCAGTGGAGCCACGACCTGCGCGCAGAGGGTGCTGAGCGGCCCAGGGCGCTGCATCCAGGGGCCAGGACCCAGCCTCGGCGAATGGGCGGCCCGGATTTTCTTGAGGTTTGGTCCTCGCGCTCACGCCGGCACCAGCGCCATCCTTTGTGGGAAATGTAGTTCGGTGGCTTCCGTAGCCCGAAATGGCGCCCCAGCCTGGACTACCAGCCCCACAATGCTCCGCGACCGCGTTCTCAATTGGCCTGCGAGCTATCACGGGGATTGGATGAGCCCTGGTGGTATTTCTGTCTTTCTGTGCTTCTGAGGTTGGGGTGTTTGGTCGACATTTGGTTGGTTTGGAAGATCAAATGTCCAGAGCTTGGCTTGATGTCGACCTGGAAGGGTGTGATATACCACGTCTCACTCAGCTCAGCTTCCTCTGATTTAGCTCCAGCCTCAGAGGGACTTTGCCCTTGTAGCCTAAGAGGACTCCCAGAACCTCAGATGTGTGTCCCTCACAACCCCCTCCCCTAACCAAAGTCCTCAGGTTTACATTATTTTTTTTATATTTTATTTTTCAATTACAGTTGACATTTAATATTGTATTGCGTTTAGGTGTACAGCTTAGTGGGTAGACATTTATATGGCTTACTAAATGATCCCACAGTTCCATTACCCACCTGTTACCATGTATAGATATTACAGCATTACAGACTGTGTTCCCACGGTGTACACTACATCACCTGACTATGTTTATCTACCCATTTGTACTTCTCAATACCGTCATCTCTTTCCACAGCCGCCCAACACCCCTTTCCTCTGGCCGACTTCACTCAGTTCTCTCTATCCATGAGTTTGTCTCATTTTTGTTTGTTTAGATTCTGCATGTAAGTGAAATCGCATGGTGCTTGTTTTTCCCCTGATCTGACTTTTTTTCACTTAGCCTGTTACTTCCTAGGTCCCTCCATGCTGTCGCAAATAGTACAATTTCCATCTTTTCTGTTTGAGTAATATTGCAGAGTATGTATGTATGTACCACAGCTTTGTCATCCACTCGTTTGCGTTGCTTCCATACCTTGGCTCCATATTTTACTACATAGTGGCTGCCTGAATTTGCTATCCCAGCAGCAGTGCACATCCTGGCCAACATTTGTTGTTTCTTAAGTTATTGATGATAGCCGCCTGACAGGTGTGAAGTGATATCTCATGGCGATTTTAATTTGCATCTCTTTGATGACCAGTGACATTGAGCATCTTATCATATGTCTATTGGCCATGTGTGTGTGTCCTCTTTGGAGAAGTGCCTCTTCAGGTCCTCTGCCCATTTTATAATTAGATGGTTTGTTTGTCTTGGTATTCAATTGTATGGGTTCTTTATAAATTTTGGATATTAATCCCTTATCATATGTATTATAGGTTAAGTATCTTGATCCATTCAGAAGGTTGTCTTTCCTTTTGTGGATGGTCTCCTTTGCTGTGCAAACAATTTTTAGATGGATGGAGTCCATTTGTTTATTTTTTTTCTTTTGTTTCCCTTGCCTGGGCAGATGTGTCAGAAAAAAGATTACTACTACAAATGTCAGTTTATTGTCTATGTTTTATTCTAATTTTATGATTTACAGTCTTACATTTAAGTCTTTAATTCATTTTGAGTTTATTCTTGTGTATGGCATAAGATGGTCCAGCTTTATGATTTTTACCTGTTTCTGTCCAGTTTTCCCATCATTGTTTATTGAATAAACAGTCTGTGCCCATTGTATGTTCTTGCCTGTTTTTTCAGATATTAATTGACCATACAGGCATGAGTTTATTTCTGGGCTCTCCATTCTGTTCCACTGATCTATGTGTCTGTTTGTCTGCCAGGACCATGTTATTTTGATGACTATGGCCTTGTAGGACAGTTTGATATCATATAGCATGATACCTCCAACTTTGTTCTTTGTTAAGAGTGCTGTGGCTTTGCAAACTCTTTTGTGGTTCCATATAAATTTTGCAGTTGTTCTAGTTCTGTGGAAAATGCCTTTGGTATTTTGATGGGGATTGCATTAAATCTACAGATTGTTTTGGGTAGTGTGGACAATTTATGTTAATTCTTCCTATCCCTGAGCACGGTATATGCTTTCATTTATTTGTATCTTCAGTTTCTTTTTTTTTTTTTAATACTTTAAAAAATATATATTTTTTTATCCTCACCTGAGGACATTTTTCCATTTTTTGTTCAGATAGAGTGGGAGGGAGAGAGAGGAAGAGAGAAAGAGCAGCATCGACGTAAAAGGGACACATCAAGTGGCTGCCTCCTGCATGACCCAACCAGGGCCGGGGACAAACTGCAACCCAGCTACATGCCCTTAGTGGGAACTGAACCCGGGTCTCTCTGGACCACAGGCCGACGCTCTAACCGCTGAGCCAAAAAGGCCAGGGCTTCAGTTTCTTTTAATGTCTCGTAATTTTCAGAGTACAGGTCTTTTATATTCTTGACTTAATTTTTCCTGGGCATTTTATTTTCTTTTTGGATGCAATTGTAAATAGGATTGTTTTCCTGGTTTCTATCTTGCTAGTTCATTATTGGTATATAAAATGCAACTGATATCTGAACATTTATTTTGTATCCTGAATTCATTTATTAGTTCTATTGGTGGAATCTTTAGGGTGCTTTATACATTATATCATGTCATCTGCAAGTAATGACAGTTTTACTACTTCCTTTCCAAGTTTTATTTCTCTTCTGTTTGTTTGATTGTCGTGGCTAGGATTTACAATGTTGTGTGGAATATGAGTAATAAAAATGACCATCCCTGGGTTTGTCATACGTGCACTTTGTTATGTTGGCATGTGGTCCCTCTGTTCCCACTTTGCTGAGATTTTTTATCATAAATGGGTGCTAGATTTTGTCAAATGCTCTTTCTGCATATTATTGACACCATCGTATGATTTTTATCCTCCCTTTTGTTTATGGGGTGTATCAGGATAATTGATTTTCAGGTATTGTACCACCCTTGCATGCCATGAATATATTTTCCGTGAATGTGGCGTATGATCTTTTTACTATATTGCTGAATTTGGTTTGCTTTTCTTTTGTTGAGGATTTTTGCATCTGTGTTCCTCAGGGATATTGGTATATAATCGTCTCTTTTGTTACTGTCTTTACCTGGTTTTGGAATCAATAATGCTGGCCTCATAAAATGAGTTTAGGAGTCATTTCCCCTGTTGACTATTTTGGAATAGTTTGAGAAAGATAGGTGTTAATTCTTCTTTAAAGTTTTGGAGAAATTTACCTGTGAAGCCAACTGGTCTAAAACTACTGCCTCAAGTTCATTGGTTTTAATAGGTCTGTTCAGATTTTCTAGTTCTTGTTGATTCAGTCTTGGATGATTATATGTTTCCAGGAATTTACCGATTTTGTCCAGATTGTCCAATTTGTTGGCATATAGTTGTTCATAATATTATTTTATAATCCTCTGTATTTTTGTGGCATCAGTTGTCACTTCTCCTTCTTTATTTCTGAATTTATTTATTTGAGTCCTCTTTTTTTTTCCTAATGAGCCTGGTTAAAAGTTTATCGATCTTATCTATGTTTTCAAAGAACTAGCTCTTGGTTTCACTGATCTCTTCTATTTTGTAGACTCTTTTTGGTTTATTTCCACCATAATCTTTATTATTTTCTTTCTTCTATGCACTTTGGGCTTTGTTTGTAGTTATTTTTCTTGTTCCTTTAGTGGTAGGGTTAGATTTTTCATTTGAGATTTTGTTTTGTTTTGTTTTCTGTGGAAGGCCTGTATTGTTATGTATTTCACTTTTAAGACTATTCTTGCTGAGTCCGATAGATTTTAGGTCATTGTTATTTTTCTCTTCATTTGTTTCAAGGAATCTTTTGATTTTTTCCTTAATCCTATTGTAAACCCATTTATTGATTAGTAACATGTTATTTAGCCTCCGTATGTGTGTGTGTGTTTTTCATTTTTTTTCTTATAATTGATTTCTAGTTTAATATCATTGTGGTTGGAGAAGATGCTTTATATGATTTCTATCTTCTTAAATGTATTGAGGGTTGCTCTGTGGTCTATCCAGAAGGTGCTCTGTGTGCACTTGAAAGAATGTATATTTTGCTGCTTTTGGGTAAAATGCTCTAAAAATATCAATTAAATCCATCCAGTGAAATATGCCATTAATGGCCACTGTTTCTTTGTTGATTTTCTTTTTGGAAGATACAGCACTTGATATCAATGGGGTTTTAAAGTCTGCTGCTATGACTGTAGTACTGCCGCTCAGTTCCTTTGTGTCCATCAATATTTGCTTGATAGCCGTGGCCGGTGTGGCTCAGTAGTTAGAATGTCAGTTCCACACACCAAGGGGTTGTGGATTTGAGTC